TACGTACTGTTTCTTGGCCGCCGCCCGTCCCTCGAGCATCGAGACTGCCACAACGTCCTGGGACGGATCGCCCTGCCCGTCTCCCTCTGTCATTCAGTCCCCGTCTCTCGCAATGAGGCATACCATCCCACTGATGCCGACATGATCCCTCAGACGCCTTCTTTAATGGTCCCGCCAGACAGTTCGGCTCAACAACTCCTGCGCCTGGGGAAGCCGTTCGTCGAGTTTCCGAGATTCAGCATCCTCGCGCTCCAGGAGGAAAAGGACCAGGATGGGAATCCGCTTCCCTTCTCCGAGTGGCTCACCAAACGCCTTCAGTCCGGCCAGCCTTTTGTCATTGCCGACTTCGACAAGTTGGAGACTTGGCCCGTCTCTGATCAGCACGATGGACATCAGCCAGGCTTCGGAATTGAGAGGCTGATTGAGCTGAGCACCAAGAAGAACATACCCATTCGCAACTGCAGTACCGGTCGCGACTTGTCGTTCACGCTGAAAAAGTTTGCCGACAGCGCCAGGCAGTCGTACCCGGAATTCCAAAACCTGTACGCTCGAGATTTGCAATGTCCCCAGGAATGGTTGGAGCAGTGTCGCAGAATCTTACCTACCGAGGTTCAATGGGGTGGTCGCCTGGACCTCTTTCAATGGCTGCCACAATGTGCGCGGAGCGAAGTCATGATGGCCTACGTGGGCAGCGAAGGAAGCAGCTCAGGCTTCCACCGGTGCTTCTCCAGCACCGTGGCGTTGAATCTGCTCGTCGAGTCCGATGATCGGCCTGTCGTCTGCATCGGTACCGACTTCGATTCTCAGAAGAAATACGACTCCTTCATATCTGCGCATGGAGTCTCGCCGCACCTAGACTGGCTCAATCTTGGGTCGGAGGAGCTACTCAAGGCCGATTTCCCCATTTATGCCTACGATCAACGGGTTGGTGACCTTGTGGTCTTCCCTCCTGCCACCGCGCATCAAGTCTGGAATCCGGCGACGTTGTCTGCAAAGCTAGTCTGGAACATCCTCCACCCTCTCTCACTCGAGGTGGGCTTCGACTATGTGCAAGCTCCCTTCAACCGCCTGTGCCACCCCGACGTGGCGAGAACAAATCTATCGTTGGCATGCGCCATGTTATCCCTTCTCCAAGACAACCAGACAATGAGCAATTCATTATTACCGTTGCCGCCCGATCTGCCATTGCTTTCACGGTTATTCCGGCAGATGGTCCATGACGAGACGATCGAGCCTCCAGTTATAACACCAATAACTTTGGCTTCTATACAAACAGGCACCATCGCAACGTGCAACTTCTGCAGCACAGCCATCTGGAACCGTCATGTACGATGTACCCAATGCACGGACTTTGATCTGTGCCTCCTCTGTTACCTCAACGGCCGGTCTTGTGAGCACTTTCAGTCATATGTATGGGCGGAGCTGATACCCGCCGAGAAATGCACCAGGGTCCTGAACCGGGCACGGGAGATTCTTGGATTCCAGCCAGAAGAGCCACGGACATTGGACAAACGAAAGGCGCTGGGCACAGCCGTGAATGATCTCATGCGGGCCAAAATGTCGTCCACCACAAGGCTATGCCACCTCTGTCGCATCGACCACCAGGAATGGAAGGGTCGTCGTTGTGACAGGTGTACCGCCTTCTTCTGCTTTCGAGGACTATTCCGCCACTTTGACGAGTATCCGGCCGAGGTCCTCCGTCACAAGGGACTGTGGACGTGCCCCAAGTGTATGGAGACGTGCAATTGTCGCTGTTGTCACTTTGCGACGGCGTACGTGAAAAGCGAGAAACCTGCCAGTAAGAGGAGGGTCAAAGCATGTGATGCTCGTGGTAAGGTCATGGGCTTTGCAGATAACGTCTTCGATCAGAGACGCGGTGGAAGGCGAGAGGCCAATCCCAGCGGCACCGGAAGCAGCAGCGGACAACTGCCTGGCCTGGTACAGGTCACGGGCAAGAAGCGAACAATATCTTCATCAGCCGAGCTCGGACCAGCGACGCCTCTACGCAAGATCGAGCTGCCTACCCCAGAGCCCGACTTCTCAAGTTCCAGATTGGCCTTTTCCCGTGAAAGCTCGGACTACTTGATGGATGCGGGCTTTCCAAATGCGAATGGCACCACATTCACGGCCCTGTTGCCAGGGGTGAAGACAATCACGGAAGGCCATGATTTCGCGATGAGTCCGACGGACGAACGATATTCAAGAGTGAGCACCTCGCCGGGGATTGCATCGCTTGCTTCCACAACAATCGGGACGAGCCGCATACCCTCAGGCATTCACCACAACCAGAACAACACGCTTCCACCGATCCTTGGACACGGGTCGTGCACCAGCAATGGTCTATCTATCCCACCGCGCAGTTCGGTGGATACTTTCAGCACGCCGTCGTCTGCCCCTACCACGTCTCCGACCAAAAGTGTCCCTGTTACCGAGACCAAGACGCCAACAGCCGCCCTGGATGCTTCAATTGCAGAGCTCGAAACCCAACTCATCAAACTGAAGAAGTACGAAGAAGAGTTCATCGCGTTGAACCTCGATGATAGTCGCAAGATGCTCGCGAGTGAGGTGGCCGAGCTAGAGAGCCAGATCAAGGCGAAGAAACGGGAAAAGAGTCTCATTCTCATCGAGAGGCTGAAGAAGGAAGGGTTTGGTGGTCTGGCAGCCTCAGTCGGTAAGGAAGTTGGCTTGGGAATCGACGCATAGCGCCTTTTGTTCCTACGTGGATCCTGGTCCCATGTTGTTTATGAGGCGGCTTCTGTTAATGGCTCGAGTTGGCTCTCTCTCGTTGCAGTGGTGGCGAGGATGGACTATGATATCGTGCATATACCCATGAAGAATTAATGATATTGACGGATTGGACATGTTTGTACGGTGTGGGACGCACGCACCGGCCAGGTGGTTTGCCGTGACCATCTAGCCCCTGTTTTACCCAGGATATATCTGTGCCAACGGAGATTTGTTGAGCAGGCTGGCGATTGGTTTCCAAGCCGCTGGACGAGGAATCATGGTGATGCGTCACACAGCGTCTATTGGCAACGACGCAGTCTGCAGGGGGTTCTCGCTTAGCCCAGAGGCAGCATTGGCCTTTGTCTTTCACACGCCCATTATGCGCTGACCAGCCTCCAGAGCGTTGACTGCTGTGGGCATGGTTGGTATCGACAAGAACATCAGCGGGATTTACCAATCGAGCTGGTCCCTGAGATGAGGAACAGCATCGGCACCCCTGCATGAGCTGGCAGCAGAGGCAGCTAAAAACAGACTCTGAGCCTGGCATTGCATGGGATGGCGACGACGGTTGCAGCCGTTGGCCGCCCCGCTGCCATGGCATCTGGTGGCATGGAGATGACCGGAGAATTGCTGAATAGTCCTAGTCGTCCATACTAAAAGTCCTTGCAATCTTTCAGACACCCAGGACTCGTAACTCGCGATTCCCAGTTTCCCGGGTTCGTCTTGGGTTACACCTTTGTTTCGCCACTTGCCCTCGTCCACCACGGCCCTCAGCTGGCTTGAACGTGTCACGCTCATCTCTGTTCTCTTTCCGTCTGCTACGTCTCTCCCTCGCCCGCCCGAAGAGATGGCCGAAGTCGAAACCCCCGCGACGCCGATGTCGCCCGTCCTGCCCGACACCCTGACCTCAGTGACTGCTCTGGCTCGCTTCGAATTCGAGCCGGGCAGGGGCAACGACGGCACGAAGGTGATGATGGTCGAGTGGCAAGACGACGACGAGACCAGAAACAAGGCCGGGAAATGGCAAGTGTCGTGGTCGGGCAAGAAGACGGCCTTCCCAGCAGATGACAACCCCTCGGACAACATCCGCCGTGTGTACTTCCTGCTCCCACCCGGGGCAATCATTCCTCCTCACGTTGTCCTCGCATATTATCCCCCTTCCGAGGCCTCGGAGGGCCCAGCGACCGAAGTGACACCGTTGAGGATGACCGTCAACGCGCTGCCGGCCATCTTCACGCCGGAACTCGGTGCCACAGCCAAGACCAGCGGGAAGAAAGGCGTCCTACACACAATATGGGCCAAGAAGAGACTGCAGATACTCGAGAAGGAGATCAAGCAAGAGGAAGAGCACAATCTCGAAGGCATTGCCTTGGAGATGGCCAAGTCAGAACGGTCGTGGATCGAGAACAACTTTGGCTTGACTCAGAAGCCGCCCAGTCTGGATTTGAGCAACATCACAAAGTCGCCCATGGGCCCCGCCAGTCCAGGCATCCAAAGTCCAAAGTCCCCGGGAGGGAGACGATTGAGCGAGAAATTAAAGGGACTGAGCATCGGCACGAGCGAGAAGGATCTCAGCTCCAGAGGCCTGAACACGCCGACACGCGAAGCACATCCCTTGTCGCCTGAGGCGTCGGATATGGCCTACTCATCTTTTAACGCTTTCCGCAACGGTCCCATGTCTGCTGCGTCGGCAGGCGGAACAAAGAAAATCGTGGCCCAAGCGCCGCCCGAGCATATCAGAAAACAGCAGGGAATCGCGCAAGCTACCGCGTCACTCAACTCCATGACCCTGCCGAACCAGTCAGGGGAGCCGGGAGAAGAGGATCTATTCGCCGTGGCGCTGAGCCCGAGATCTCCTGACGGGCCCAAGAGTCCATTCTCGTTGAGCAGTGGAGAGGTGTCGGCCTTTGCAAAGATCAAGGGCGACGGCAGCGCGTTTGCGAAGATCAAGGGCGAGAGATGAGGCAGGAAGCTCCGTCATTATCTATGGGTGGTTCAGAGTGAAGAAGGTTGTTGAGCGACCATTTCGGGAACTACCTGGAGAATTGGTACCACTGTCGACCCCTTTCCCAATGCCAGGTCGCATATGACACAACCTCATACGTGGAAGCCCGCCACCAGATTCACATCACAGTTAAATCCCCCCTCCTCGACCCTGCGGCACATGGCCGGTTAACGACGATATGCCAGCAATGCGCCTCATGATGCTTATACCCTTTCAGCGATAGACAAAGGAAAGAAACCCAGAATTGTCCCCCTCCTCCTAAGAAGAATTATGACAGAAATCCAGCAGCGAAGAGTCCCAAGACAGCCACCGACGACCCAGCGAGTTTGCTTGCAGCACCCATGTACACCGACTGCGAAGAGGCAGCAGGCGCAGGGGCCGAAGGAGCAGCAGAGGGCGCCACTGGCACGTTTCCACCAGTGGGAGCCGTGTAATTGTTGCTGCCCATGTCAGTGATGGGAGCAGGAGCCATGGCCGTCTTCGTGCATCCGCACTCATGGTCCCACCAGGTGTATTGAGTGCCGGGGACCCCTGAGCCGGTAGCAACGGCCGCAGCCGGCATCTCTGAGGTCTTATGGCAGCCGCATGCTGGGTCCCAGACAGTGACGGTCACAATCGGGGCGGGGCCGGCCGTCATCGTCGCGGAAGCCGAGATCAGGATTGGGTCGTCCGTCATGGTGGCGTTGGGCATCGGTGTCGCCGTTATTGGTGGCATGCTCGAAGATGTCGACATTGGTGGCACGTAACCAGGAGGAATGATGACGCTGAACAAGGGGGAGAAGTCCATCGATCCGCTTTGAACCAGAGCCAGGGCATAGTTGCCTGCGACGAAGTCGGCGGGGATGGCCACGGTCCAGTCAAAAGTCGCATCATTGGCAGGCTTGTTCTCTAGTGTTGCTTGTCAGCGCGCGAATGGCTCGAGAGAAGGCAACCACGTCGAACATACCGAAGATTCCAGTGTTCCAGCTGGTGTTGCCCAGGAACAGCGAGACTGGTGTCCCGTCGCCGAGAGTCCAGCCGATGGTCTGCATTTGTCCAACCGTGACATTGGCGAAGGTGATGGGTGGGTTGAAGCTCGCAGTTTGAGCCATGGCCTTGTAGGCCAAGACGCCGATGGCGAAGACGGTGGTGAAAGCGGGCATACTGTCAGACTACTCAAACTCGAAATGATGCTGCGTGGCCGTGGAAAGATTAGAAACTGGTGGCGTGGCCAACTAGTGTTTCTGCGAGTTCTGGGAAAGAAAAGAACAATGGTAAACGAGTGACCGGACTTCAAATGAGTGACTGGGAAGAAGCAAGCAAACGAACAAACCAAGCACGAGCGAGCCATGTTAATCAAGGTGGCAGGCAGGCAGGCAGGCCAACTGTTTGTTGTGATGCGCTTCCATGCTGCATTCCACAGTGGAATTGATGGGTTGGATCGCAGGATCAAGAATGCGCCGTGCGTGATCCTGCAACGACGACGCCGAAGGTGCTCGGATCACGGATTATCCCAAGGACTGCAATCCACTGGCTTCTGATCTGTGGTCTGGAGTTTGAGATGCTCCCTCTGTGCTGGGCTGGACTGGGTTGCCCGAGCTTGGAATGGGCCGGCTGATCGAGTTCGAGTTCCTTTCGCATGCACTGGCAGCCATCGTCATTGCAGGAGTTGTGGTTCCCAGCCGCGATCAAGCAACGATCCTCGACCTTGGAAGGGGCCTGCTTGTTTGACTGTCTTACTGTAGCTGGGAAGCTGACGACACCACCGCTATGAAGCACGTATTCCGCGGTGTGGTTGAGATAGAGATCGCACCGCGAGCCTGTGCCAGTGCCGGTGCCACTGCTGACTGCATCCGTAGATTAATATAGACATAGAAATCCAGGCCGCCATACTCCGTATACGGGGCCAGACGTCGTTCATACAAACTCCCTGCTACGATAGTCGCCATATCTACGGAGTATGCACAGTAAAATCGTTGGTGATTAGGCATGAGTATGAGTATGAGGATGAGGATGAGTATGACGCCGTACTCATCATGATACAGCACAAGGAGATATTGCCAGTCATTGCTTTGACGGTCCTACTATATATATATACCCTCCTACGTCAACAACCTCCACCTCGACCCCTGTTATCCACATGTCCTAAAGTGCTTAGACGGTCGATCTTACGAGGTACAGAGGTACAGAGGTACAGTAGAGGTAATAGCCGTAAATGGGAGCGCAAGTACATAGCTAGAGTGGCAGGACTGCATCGGTAGCCACGAGTCCCGCGCGTGGTATGTCTGGTACATACGTACGTACTGTATATCTGACGTGTCTGACGTGCTTGCTGTGCTGGGAAGTTGTCAGTGGCGTCCGGTTCAGGTTCAGGTTCAGGTTCAGGTTCAGGTTCAGGTTCTGTTCGACGTCTTCAGAAGCGCCAACAACATACATGTAATTACTGTCCTTGCTGTGTGTCAAGAGGGCTTTAACACGCGAGTATTCTAGCCATTAGCTCGCACTGCATGTATGCATGGATGGATGGAAGTATGTATGTATATATGTGCTTCGGCATGTCTCCCTGCCGTTGAGTGCATCCGTCCCGCTCGTCTTGCGACTGTAGACTCGCGACTTCAGAATTCAGTGCGCATTTAGAACTCGGAAAGTAAAAGACAGACAGACAGAGAGACAGACAGACAGACAGACAGACAGACAGACAGACAAATGTGTGCATGAGATTTCACTTTGGGTGTCCGAGAAAAAGCAAACTCAAGAAAATCAAGAGAATTAAGCTTGATAGCCCAGGCGATCGAGTAGATCGAATTCCGAAAGAAAGAATTGCATTGCTTTTGTGAGAGACGGTACTCCATACTCGATATGTACTCGTACTCCAGATGGAGAAGTACGCCGACGGGGCTTCTACCCAGCACTCCAGTTCCGAGACCCGATCAGTCCCAACGCACTTCCAATGCAGACATATCGTACAGGGACATTGCATTGCGCCACCATCCATACGGTTGCGAACCGTTCTGTTGCATGCGTGCACGCTCAGCACGCAACGCTGACGTACAGCACGACGCTGCGACTTTAGAACAAAATACCAGCACCGACTCCGATCCCAACCCCTGCCCCTACCACTGCGGCAGCCCAGCCCGGCACGACGATCCTCCCTCCTGCATTCCCGCCATCTGTCCCACTGGCACTCGCACTGTCACTGGCGCTTGCACCCGCGCCCGCACTCTCCGTAGCAACAGCAGAAGCACCACTCGAGGTCTCGCTTGCCCATTGGCTGGAAAGTCCGTCCACCAAACTACTATACTGGCTGGCCAGGCTGGGGTCGGTGGTCAACGAACTCACGGCCGAGACAATCTCCGAGGCTACCGACGTGATGAGCGGTTCGTTGGTGGTTTGGCTGCCGATCACGGTCGCGATGCTGGACACGGCGGAGGCAGCATCTGAGATGAGGGAGCCGAGGTCTTGAGCTGTGACGGCGGTGATCGGGCCAGTGAGGAGGATGGAGGCGAGGGGTGCGAGGAGGGCGGAGGGACGCATGGTTGGGATGCTTTTTGACGAGTGAATGGATGGAAGGATTGATGTGGGTCGAGTTGGCAGAGTTGAGGTCAAGCCTCTTGATCTAGTTGAGGTTGCGGATTGAGTCGAGTGATTGAGTGGCGCTGACGTGCAGTTGAAGCTCGTTACAGGTCAAGATGGATGATTGGTCTGACTTCACGGTTGGATTCTTGGTAATCGTAGGCACGGAGAGTAGAAGCGACGGTTAAGGAGAGTTGATGAATACGATGAAGACACGAGGGAGAGCGGTAGAGACAGACAATCAAGTGAATACTCAAGAGATGTAAATTTTCTGAAAAGTGAGCATGAACTCAGGAAGCTCACATACTTAACCACCTTCGAAAGGATTCAGAGGCAGGGAAGGGCGGATCGTCACTGGCTGTGTATGTATCCGCCTCCTCCGCATTTCGTTATCCCAAGAGTCGATCAAGGCTTTGCCGTTTCATGACGACGATCGCGTATGTTGGATGGAGTTTGAGCTTGTCTCTATCAGTCACGGTTGCGAGACCAGCCAGACACCCCGGACGCCTCCACGCAGTTGAACTGCGAGTACGAGTACCTCGTAGTGTGTTCGTCGTGCGGATTGCCTCGTATTCGCACGGCTACCTCGTAGGCCGGACACAAATTCTCCTAGCGGTGTGGATACAACGGTCTCGGATCGTGTGTTTGATCTCCATCAAGGGGTGACTCGCAGCGAAACGAGGCTCCGCATTTTTTGCGGAGGGATTGACAAGGGTGAGTGATTGTGACCCGGATATCAATCAGGGTGGCATTGACACAAATCACTTCGTCTCATGTAACTCGGCTGTTTACAACGTCCTTGGGGGTCTGTATTGCATCTTGCGTCATGGTAGTGAGCCTATGCAGAATGAGCGAGCAATGAGTTTGGAAAGAGGCAAGTTTGAGGGACAGATGAAAATGTACTGAGGGGCCGTCGGTCTTGGCGGCGTGATGGTCGCCGATTGGTCTCCCCTGAATATCTCGGGCGATCTCAATCAAACCATCACCGCAAGCGAACGAGGCTGTGCGGCGACGAACTGCAGATCGTGTTTCATCTCCTCATGCCGTCATGTACGAATAAAGTAACGTGATGGGCGGCGTGACACCCACCTAACACCACGCAATCCTATCCTCGGTCGTGTCACTTGACCCCTGCTGACGTCTTCTCACGTAGGTTGCCGACGGGGTCTGTTCCTCGTGGGCAAACCGCAAATGATTGACAGAAAGAACATTCCTTAGGACGGCGAACGAGTAATCGGAACAAAGTAGCTATAAGTCGCAATCTTTCTATCCAAATACGGAGTACAACTAATGCTATTCTCTCAACCTAAAGGCGACCTCAATTTTGAACCCTCAAAATATTTCTAGACACCTTCTTGCCTGCAATCAGTAAAAAGGACCTTAACGGACAGACCTTGACGATCCGCTCAGACTTTTGGAGCCCGAGTTTCCTCGTTGGCTGGGACGCTGCGACCCCCGTGGCGACGACATTGCTTCCTTCTCCCTAGCGAGCCTTTCATAGTACCCCTTGAGCGCTGTCTCGATATTCCAGTTCTTCGGCGTACCGCGGGCATTCCAATTCCCGGTGATATTGCGGTAACACTCTGTGGCACCTTTGCCGACGATTCCCTCCTGGTCCAGAGCCATGAGTTTGTCAATGTAGTCTTTCTTGACCGGGTTTTTCTTCCCCAGAGCTCCTATGACATCTTTAATGCCGCGATTCTGTTCGAGTTCACGGCACAGTTCAGGGACGAACATATTCTCGTAATCCTTCCGCGCTGGTAGAGGGTTTGGCCTGGGCCCTGAAGGAGCGTTCTTGACCGTTTCGTGGGGATTCTGGACGTCCTTGTGAACGGGACTCTGGAAATAACCGACCTTTGAGATGGGCGGTGTGACGACCGAGTCATTGCTGGGCGATCTCGGCGGATATGTAGGTTGGTCGTGGTCGTCTCCGCGCTCGTCTCCGTTGTCGATTCCGGGTCCGACGAGGGACCGATGGTACTCCCGCAGAAGCAAAAGTAACTCTCTCACAGCGACAATCAACGCATTGAATGCGTAACGGAAGCTCAAGAGTGTCCGTGGATGCGTATAGTCGAAGAACTGGAGCACCCGTCCATGATGGAATCGGACGTCCTGGAAAGCTCTCTTGCAGAGCTTGTACGTGGCCGGATGTGTCTTGATCGAAGGTTTGGATCTGAACTCCTCCTCCGGGATCATTTCTAGGTGCGGCTTTTGTTCCCCCTTCAGCGAGGCCAGATATTCGCCCCTCAGCTGATTGATCACGGCTGCGGTGGATTCCAGCCAGGGTATCATATTACCGACGACTTCACCGCCCGTGGTGGAATTAATCTCTCCTTGATCAAGCGAGTCAAATCCTTGCTGAATATGAACAAAGCTGTCCATAGAAAAGCGACCAATGACTGTCGCAAAGCCCCCTTCTTGATCACCAAACAGGCTTTCCACTGTGTTGTCGTCCTCAGCAGCAGGCGCTGCAGGTGGAGTTGTGGCATTCTCGCCCTGGCTCCTATAGTCATTGTGCCCGGCCTCGTCGCCGTTGTGTCCGGCGTCCGGCCCACCGGCTTGATGATCATCCTCGTAAATGATCAAAGAGTCCTCGGACTTATTGTCCACGGGTAACCCGCCGCCGTTGTCTTGCTCATGCCCCTGGTCCTCGTCAGAACTGTATCTATGCTCGTCTTCTGAACTCCATCTCTCTTCGCCGTGATTCCTGTCATAGTCGAAAGGGTATGAAGGACTAGTCGGACTCCATGCAGGACTTGGAGGCTCATATCCTGGGCAGAATCGCGAGCCTGGGCACTCGTGATGGTATTGCCCTTCAAAAGTCGGGCACGGATGGCATCTTAACCTCACTGGCGTGTCAGAACTATCAGATCTTCGCCGCAGGCTACTGCCATCACTTTGGGGAACCGAATAATCACCCGGCTGCATTTCACCCAACGGGATACGGACGCCTGCAGGACCGGGAGGGAGGTTCTCTTGGTCGTCATCTTCGTTGGTTTCATGATGCTCGTTGAGGTATGCTTCCTCCCAGCCTTCAACTGTGGCTCTCGGGGAGTTGTTCACCCGGTACTTTGATACCCGGGCATGTTCGTCCATACAGCGTTCGTACACAGGAGGCAGATGCTTGCTTTGACCAGCAACCGCAGTTTGGTCAGATGGCCTTGTGCCTGAGTGTCCGTGACTTGTCGAGATAGAAGTGAGCCTGGGCCCTCTCCCACGAGATATATACCTCATTGCCACCTCCTGAATATCGTATCCAGTCCGCGGCAAGAGCTTCAATATCTCGGCCAGATCGATGGGTATCCCACCACCATATCTGCGTCTTAATTCCCGTATACTCAAGCTGACCATTTTTCGATGGAATGCTGCCGCATCGAAGTGGTGTCGTCTGCTGAGCCCTGTTGACCAGTGCAATGGACGACCCTTTCCGCCGCGAAGTCCAGAGACCTGACCTGACGAAACCGGCTTCTGCACCCTCGCCTTTCGGCCAAGGATGGCAGATGCAGACCCCACTGGCAATGACTGCTGGTGCATGGGAAGTCGGCTGAAAGTGGGGGTCTTGATATCGGGGAGGCCACGCTTCTTTGCGATCAGCTGTTGTATCGCATGACGGATAAAGGAGAGAGGCCCAAGACTTCGTTCGGCGAATTGGGTAGGATCTCGAACGTGACGCGGAGGCCGGTCGATCAGATACTCGGGTCGAGGCCCTGCAGAGACGATTCCAGGTTGAGCCAGTTCTCGAGATATTTGCTCGTTCTGAACCACCTCATGAGCCCGTGTCTCTGGCGAAGGATACCATACGTAATCAAAGTCGCTCTTGATGCTAATGCCTTCGGGATAGGGGAAGACACGCTTCGCTGGCTTCTCCGTGATGCCGCGACTAGTGTCTAACGCGGGTGAGTATGAATTCAACGGCGAGCTCGGCTGGCTAGTGTGTTGCACGTTGGCGCGATCCTCCGTTGCAGAAGAAGCCTGAACTGAGACAGGAGAATCGAGGTACATGGGTATCATATCCCATACTCCATTGTCGTGAGGACTCCTCCATCGACTAACCATCACTGGACCGCCATTGATCTTGTTGAATCGTGCAACGGCAAAATGAAGCTTGGAAAGCGTGCTTGTTTCGAATTTCCCAGTCTTGATGAACTGCCTCAATGCATTTTTGGTGTGTTGTCCCAGAGGCGTGTCTTGGGTACGTTGAAGTGACTCGTATTTATTATCGGGGTCGATTGGACAGCTGTGAATGTAGCGGCAGTATTCGCCGACTATGCTTTCAATGCTCGCTGAATTTGCTGCCTCAGTTGTGTGATTCAGACGCTTCAACTCCCTGCGAACTTTCGGGATCTCGAAGAATAGCCGGTCACGCAAAGTGTTCGTAGGGGAGGTTGGGGCTCCTCCTTGGTCGAAGGCAGCGAACACTCTTTTCAAGCTCCGCCATATCAAAAGCCACAGCTCCTTGGCTTCGGTATCATATGTTACATCTTGGAATGCAAAGAGTAACTTCTCGGCGCGGTCGACGAGCTCTTCTGCCTGGTCTGCGGAGACAAGAAACGGGACAGTGTTGCAGGTAGAGCCCAACAGTGCTTGCAGCGAGGAACACGGCGAGACAGCGCCAACGTCCAGATCAAATAAAGTGAACTCGATTTCGTGAATCACTGTAAAGCGGTGGGTGATCCGAGCTCGGAGTTGCGCCAGCAGCCGATCGAGCTTATCGACAAGGGCCTGATATGTGGCTCGGCTCCACGTCTCAACGAATCTAGCGTAGATATCCTGGAAGTCTCTCTTTGCCCTGCCGCAGATATAAGATGAGGTAACATTTTCGAAAAGCCCAAGTGCAAGACCCAAACGGCGATTGATGAGTCTGAAGTCCGCGAGAAGACTAGCTGGTCCCTCCCTCAAGGTGGTATTTGACCAGAAATCGAAGTAGTCCGTGATTTGTTCAATTATGTTCTCAATGTCCTCTGGTGAACTTGCATAGTCAATGTCGGTCAGCTCCAGGCCTGGCGAGGTGGCCCTCTGGAGCGGTATAGATCGTGCATTTGACACGTCTTTCGCGTGTCGGTTGTTGACGGTGCGGCGTACTGCTGCAAGTTCCTCAGGTAGATTCAGCTTGTTAGCCGGGGTCAGATGAGGTTTGGTTCTAGAGCTTGGCGAGTACTGCGATCGAGGAGGAGTAAGCGGTGCGATGGTCTCCAGCTGTATGACTGTCCCATGCGTCTTTGACCGATGAGCTGGACGACCAACCCTTGTGTGTACATAAGTTGATGCAGCAGGCTTTGAAGCTCTATATGCCTGGGTTTTGCGCCGAGCGGCATAGGTACGGGGTGCCATTTTACAGGGCAGAAAGCAAAAGACGCAGACCAGGCGGGAAACAACGAAGGTAGCATGAGTAGCAACATAATAAATCAACACTCACCGCAAGACCAATTCGACAAAGGCAGATACATTCATGCCGCCGGATGCATCCACACCGGTCGGCAGCTGCATTTAGCATTTGTTCACGTTGAAAGAGGCATTGATGTATGTCGTCGACGCACGCAGACACTGCAAGCCAAAGTTCTGCTTTGAGGATAGCGCCTCGGTCATATATTGTTCCGCTCCGGTATTCGCCTAACCTGATTGCGGCAGGCATTTTGTGTGCAATCCAGTTGGTCAATGCTCGACCTTCACATGAGCGAGGTAAGATTGTTATGTTATTGGAAGGGTGGTCCTGATGCGTTGTCCCGGGAGAAAATGGATTAGGGGGTACTCGTAATCCGCCACGTTCCGCCCTCGTAGCTCAGCTGCCAGCGGGAGATGCCGTCTCCAAGCGTACGTAACCAAGCTGAAGCGTGGAATGGAAGGCGACGGATAGTACATCCTGGCAGAATGCAATGATCACAGGGTCACGGAAATCTGAATTATTAGAGCACCGATGCCGAAGCTTGAACAAGGCATTATACACCGTTCGTAAATTCGGCATGTGTCTGCTGCACCAAAGTCTGCTGCATTGGTGAGCTTCGTGAAGGCCGAGAAGATTCCGAAAGGACTGACACGCTCTTGCTAACAGTACGGGGACCGGTAGTCGCGTGCCAGGGACAGGGGTGTGTGAGAAAGGGTTCAAAGGAGGGGAGTAAGCGGGCGATTGGAGTTAGAAGTCCTGGGTAAGCAGCTTCGAGGCAGGAGGGGGTTTGGCGGTTGAGGTTGAAGCTGAAGAAGAATCGGTCTGATTGCCAGGTGTTTTCATGCTTCTACCCCACACTTTGTGCACCTGTGCCAAGGGGGAATAGGGCGTAGATCGCTGGCGGTGGGCTCTGGGGAGCCTATTAGAGTTTCCCTGACGAGCTCAAAGCCGATTCTAGGGCAACTTCAGGCCCTGGAAGCGCCGGCAAAGCCTGGGGGAGGTGTGGGAGGTGCAAAACTAATGCAGTCCGCCCTCCTAAGCCCCTAAACTTGTTACTCCTTCTGGCTCAGTATCTCAAGTCCATCGACCAATTGACAGAGTGGGATGAGTCTGGGGGCGGATTTTCCATCCAGGCAAAGAAAAGCGAAGCATCTCGAGCTGCATGACCGTGTCTGCATTCAAGCCTGCTCACCCTCCTCAAATTCTTACCAATGTAAACCGTGTTGTTTTGACCTACTCCTCTCTGCTCGTTCTTCACTCTACCTCTCTCTTCCATTCACTACTCTCTAGCCCAATCTTCCGTCCCATTCCTGACCTCCCAGAACCAGGCACCTGCGTGGATCACACAGATCTTTGTGATCGTCGCTCACCTTGCCGTTCCTTGTTCGCTCGATCCCAATCAAACGAGGCCCCCACCAGCCGCGGTCACCATACAATGACGTGACCCTTTGTCCTACTCACCGTACACCCCCCTTAAAACGCTTTCCATATCAGAGCTTCAGACACTCTTACACGGGAGTCTGCCTCCTCTTCTACGATCTCACTCCTGTACGAGCTCCGAAACAGATATTTGCACCGCCTTCGACCTCTCGACATGTCGGACCAAAATTCTCCTCCTTCTCCTTCATTTCCACAACACCGCCGCCGATCCTCGATTGTTGAGATGTTCAGTCCCCGATTAAATACCTCGTCCTCCGCAGCAGTCTCGTCCTCGCCCCCGTCTGCCGGTGTTCCTTCAACTCCCACTGTCCCACAACATCGGAGGGGTACCTCAATCACCGCCCTTGGTCTGACCACGAATCCTTCGAACCAGTCTCACTTTTCGGCCTTTGGACTGCAACGACGGGCAAGTGTCGCGACGTCCTCTGTTGCGAGCTCCCCGGATTTCAAGAACAGCTTCGGAGACGAGCCCGTAGTGCTCGAAGAGGATGACACTTCCCGGGCTGCCATTAACCCTCCACCATCGCCATCTTTTGCGAGACGGGTCAGTTTTGGCGCGCAAGCTTTAAGAGATGTCAGACTGGGAGGGAGCCCTGGTGCTTCTGGCGGTGGTAGGCGCCCCTCCTCTTCCCTTCTTACTACCCTAGATGAAAATTCCGAGAATGCCACTGCATCACATCGAGCCACGTCGGGGACGGCCAAGACTGCAGGTAAGAGTCGAGGCCTGTCCCTTCTATACTGTTGTCACCGTGCCATCAAAGACATCTCCCTCTGTAGGTCTCGATTTACTGATAATCAACAGGAGAAGGTTTCAATTGGTCTGAAGCCATTCGTGACAGAACCAAGCGCTCTCCTTCCTTTTCTTCGGGCAATCCCTTCCATCAGGGCGGCACCGCCCGGCCTCGATCTGCAAGCATCTCCAACCCCGAACCTCCCAAAGAGATTCCGAAGCCCATTGAATCACCTCCAGCCAGGATGATGAGGAAACCGGATCATCTCGGTGAAAGGATGCTACGTGGCGACTTCATGATGGACTGAATTCCCAATTGTGTAACAATATGGAATGTGGTTGATCTCGGCACATTAAACAGACTGATGATATGTGTGTTATTCGATTGGTGTGTAAGTGACGCTTTTGGGTCGAACAGGGCAGGAGCTTTTCTGAGAGCGGAACAATACCTGTAACCATTACTTTTCGGTGGTATCGTCTTTCAATCGGGTTCCACAAAACATCGTTGGAAGCAGATCAGTGTACAGGGGATTCAGGGCGAACTGTCGGAAGGAGTCAGCACCAGAGTTTCTTTCCCCACGATCGTTTTATGACTTCTGCCTTTGCACAGGAGTGGGCGACGTTAAGCATGGGAGAGATTCAGCATTGACAACAAGTTGTCACGTATGCTTGACGTTACAGCAGCCCAGATTCGGGTCTTAACGAGATCAAATGAAACGCAATTGAAGAAACATCCAGTGACTGGGTCCGTTATGCTTCGTCTGTAAGTCTACTTCGGTCTCGCCTCAGACAAACAACCTTTTATTCCTCTCTACAAGGACGAGACCACGGTCGGACAGGATGGAAGCGATTGCCTGACGAGATTCCTTGTGCCTGCTGAGTCTCCGATCTCCACCTCTCCACCTCTCTAAGCCCAGTGTTTTTCGCCGCCGACGTATCTTCATATATTTGGACTATCCAGGTGACCTCAGGGCGCCAAGGAAGAAGCCACGAACGAAGTCTGAATCACTTCCAAGCAGTTCTGAAAAGACAGCGTTGCGAGTTCTTCGAGGCTGACGCGCCGATGAAGGAGCCGCCAAGAAGCGGGACGGATGCTCGGGGCAACGACCGGGCAGCTCAGCAGCCACTCAACTCCGCTATTATCTAGCAAGCAACGGAGGCCGGAACGACATTGGTGCTACATCGTCGTGCCAGATGTATCAGACATTCACTATGATGTCCAGCGCATGACAATACTTGTATCGAGAGTTTTCCATCCTCGGATACTGTCAGTCCTTTGTGCACCTTCCGAGTGTGTAGAGCGTCGGCCTGACCAACCCACCGCCAGCATTGCGCTGCGCACCCACCAAGCGACAAACTAACGCTGTCCGACGCTGCATAGCCGGCTCTCCTTGTGGCTGTGGTACTGCTGCGCGACTCTATCCAACATGCCCTTGTGAAAACATGGCCGCCTAGCATAAACCAGGTTTCGAACCGACCTCACCCTCCTCGTAACCGGCCCGAAGCGCAGACACATCGGAACTACCTCATCACTCCAAGCCCTCCAGCTCTGCTCGTTCTGCAGACCCCTACGACCGTTGCGCTAGAAGAGAAATCATGGAGAAGATCGTGAAAGGTGCTACAAAAGTGAAGGTGAGGCTGGTCCGTAGAGCGCACGGGCAGTGCTGACGGCTGGCTAGTTGGCCGCTCCCAAGTCCAAGTATATCGAGCCCATCCTGTCTGCCACGAACGGTGGAGAGTCAGGCGTCGCCGAGGTCTTTCGAACGCTACAGCTTAGGCTGCGGGACTCGACATGGACGATTGTTTTCAAGGCCTTGATCGTGGTCCACCTCATGATCAGAGAGGGCCAACCCGAGGTCACTTTGAGATATATTGCTGAGTCGCCCAAGAGACTGGCAATTAGCAGCTTTACTGAAGGTAAGAGGCATCCTTAGCGCACTTTGTGACTCTGACGAGGAACAGGCCAGACTCAGGGCCTCAATATTCGGAGATATTCGGAGTACCTCTTGGAACGAGTGCGAGCCTATCGAGACACGAAGACGGATTTCGTCAAGTCCGGGGCTGGAAAAATGCGCCGATTGACTGTCGAGAAGGGGCTCCTGAGGCAGACTGAGGTTGTGCAGGATCAAATAGAGGCCCTCGTGCGATGCGACGTGAGCACTCTGCTTCAGACCTCGACCTGAATCTCGGCTGACGACTTGCAGTTTTTGGGCAACCATGATCCTGACAATGAGATTGCACTGACTGCGTTCCGCCTACTCACCCTTGATCTGCTAGAACTGTTCAAGGTGATGAACGAGGGCACTATCAATGTCCTAGGTACGTGAGGCGTCGGATGGTCAGAGGTCACCAGGCTGATCGAAGCACAGAGCATTATTTTGAAATGTCTCGTCCTGACGCCGAGCGGGCATTGCAGATCTACAAGACATTCGGAAGGCAGACAGAGCTTGTGGTCCAGTATCTCAGTGTGGCGAGACAGTATGAGATGCACACCCGACTGGAGGTTCCGAAGTTAAAGCATGCACCAACAACACTGACCAACGCTCTCGAGGAATACCTCCATGATGCGGACTTTGAACTGAATCGACGTCAATACTTGGCTCAGCAGGAAGCAAAGAAAACTGGAAAACCCATGTCCTCTGTCTCGACGCCCACACCGTTCGACAAGCCAACCACCAAAGAAGTGGCAACGCCGTCAGTCGCTTCCAAACCACCGCCAGTCCAAAACCAACAGAAAGGACCGGCCCCAGATCTTATCGACTTCTTCGAATCTATCGAGCAGAATCAACAGACAATGGGGCAAGCCAACTTCAACCAGCAGCCGCAATTCCAGCCGCAGTCTCAGGCCTATCAGCAAGCGCCGGCGCCTCAGCAGAGTTACAATCCATTCCTGCAGCAGCAACCGACCTACCAGAGCCAGGCTTTACCGGCGCCGCAGGCGCTGCAGACGGACTTTACAGGAGCCGGATTCGGTGGGTACGAGCCACAGCCATCACAGCAACAGATACAGTCACCGGGAGGATATCAGTTTAGTGGAGCGCTATCTTCGATTCCTCAGACCGGCTTGCCGAATTTTCAATCACAGGCACTTTCAGCACCACAGCCGTCGCCATTACAACCACAACACACATCTACAAATCCGTTCCGCCAGTCCACAATGAACACCGGAGCCATGCAGTTTTCCCCTGTCAGCCCAATTGCTCCTGCTCGAACGTCGACCAATCCATTTGCAAAGCACAACACAGGCGTAACCACAACCACTGCGCCTAACGGTGGAATGGTCCATGACCAAACGACCTTCTCACCGACCCAAGCCTCCCCACAGCAGACTTTCCCGCCGAATCCGTCCTTTCTCAACTCGCCTCCACCCCTGCAACCTCAAAGAACAGGCACAAATCCGTTCGCGAAGAATCGGCCAACCACGTCAGGTGGCCCTATCACAACCAATGTTACCGGGAGCACGAATCCATTTCGTCAGAGCGCGTTTGTGGATCAGCAAACTGGACAAGGATGGCAACACAGCAACCAGGGTACTTTCGCAGGCTTCGACGTCAATAGCGTAGACACCGTTCCGGTTTTTCCTAGGCCTGGACACAGTTAAGCATGTAGCATAATCTAATGTGAATTCCCGATTGATGAAGCTGTACTTTCGAGTGTTTGGCAAGTCAGGCAGTGTCGGACTTCCATTTCCGGAACTTCTGGGGGAATGTGGCAAAGCCTCATCCAGGTGGCACCGTCATCCGACTCCAATTTCCCGTCTCGAGCTTTCGGGCTCATTCTTCTTCACGTGCGCTGTCTCTCCCCATGACCTTTCATCTTTGGTCAAGGCACGCGTAAACACCTGATACTCGTGCCGGAGATGCATTTGTGGAAGATGATCCCGCTTCAACGCATGAGAACGCGTGCTGCAACGTGACGCGATACTGAGTGGCTCCTTCCTGCATTAATTACCACCACAAACACGTTGAGCAGGAGCATCGTCCAATGTAGGTTGCGCTTTTCCACTGAACCACCATTGACGAGTCGATGCATTGATTCTAAATCGCTGCTGATGATTTTTGAAGATGGAGGACGCCAATATCCCGAGTCTCTCCATCATTCCCTACGACAATAACCGTGAGGTTGTGCTGTAAGTCAACCTCCCGTCATCCTCCGGTCATGCGGACCAAGAGACACCATACTGAACATTTTCGATCAGCCGTCACGCAGACACTATTGTCTATCGCGATCCGCGAACAAACCAATTGGTGCCGTTCCACCAAGATGTAGAGCGCCGGCCCAGCGACTGTCCAACCTGTGGCCGACCTTGGCATCCTCAGACGGGTTCTTCCTCACCAGAACCCGAGCCGGGCTCAATGGAAGAGCAACCTAGCTTCATCACACAGGGCTACTTTGACATGCTCGCACGGAGCCTGCCTGGCTCAAATGAAACGTCAGCACCGCCGTCCCCGAGACGCCGCATCGCTCAGCCGGTACGATCACGTCTCCACCCTTTGTCCGCTGCGACATCGGGAACTCCGCCTCCGAATGCAGAATTCATTGCAAGCGCTCCGGTGCCTCCTAGCCAGGCTCACGGGATCTCCGAGACTGCTTTCTCGCCGAACTACTTTGAGAAGTTCTTCGTGGAAGAAAGGGAGCTGGGAAGGGGTGGTAAAGGAGTTGTGCTGCTGGTCAAACATGTTTTAGACGGCGTCACGCTAGGCCGTTTCGCTTGCAAACGCGTTCCGATCGGGGACGACCATGGCTGGTTGGAGAAGGTCCTGGTCGAGGTCCAGCTCTTGCAGACACTCTCGCATCAGAATCTGGTCTCGTACCGGCATGTTTGGCTGGAAGATTGCCAGATCAGCAAATTCGGGCCAAGCGTCCCTTGCGCATTTATTCTCCAGCAATACTGCAACGGGGGAGACATGCAGAATTATGTGCTTGGCTCAGCTCAAGCCTCGACGTCGACCCAAGAACTCAAGGAACGCATCAGACGGAAGTCCAGAGGAGAGTCAGAGCTACCTCGCCGGGCCAATGAGCCCAAAAAGCTGCATTTCGATGAGATCTACACGTTTTTCAGAGACATCACCTCTGGTCTGAGGCACCTTCACCACAATGGCTTCATCCACCGAGACCTGAAACCGAGCAATTGCCTCCTGCACACCGTTGGTGGCGAGACTAGGGTGCTGGTCAGCGACTTCGGTGAAGTCCAATACGAATATGCGACGCGAAAGTCCACTGGTGCCACGGGAACGATATCATACTGTGCCCCGGAGGTGCTCCGTCGCATCTCTCCTGGTGGCCCCTTTGAGAATTTTACGTCCAAGTCAGATATCTTCTCATTGGGTATGATCCTGCACTTCCTCTGCTTTGCAAATCTCCCCTACACCGCTGCCAATGTCCTACACGAGGAACGCGAAGACATTGATGCGTTGAGACAAGAAATAACTGCCTGGGGTGGCTTTGACGATCAACGCAAGCTACGCCCCGAATTGCCGGCGGCACTTTATGCCTTTCTCAAACGACTTTTGTCCCTCGAACCAGATCAGAGACCCAGTGCCGATGATGTACTTCAAGTCGTATCTTCCGGAAGGCTTGACGACATTCCTGCCGCTCGGCGAAGAAGCTCGATGGAGCCGGAAGAGTTAACTCCCGGCCGGCGAATTCAGAGACTGGATACACCACAGAAAGGAAATTCACCACAAGGCCGGCCAGGACAGGATGCTGGTCTCAGATCGAAGCGACAGAAATTTATGAGTATGAGGTCCCGATCTCAAGAGCGGAAACGCACCGAAACGACGCCGGATGACCACGGCGTTGCAAGCGACAGTGAGGTTGATGGAGAGAACTCGACACACAACGGATCTCGGTCGAACCCACGTGACTCTGGCAGACTGAAGCTGAACAGCTCAATGATCCTACGCAGCGGGAAGCGGAATTCAATATCCCTCCCGACCTCACCTCTCCAAAAATCTCCGGCGCAGTCCCCGGTTCGACGTCAACTCCTCCTCGAACACATACAATTATATGACACGCCTCCTTCATTTCTATTGCTCGACCGCATCCATGCTGTCCTCAACATGCCTGTGACTTCATCCACGAGTCGAGTTGCCATTTTGACCCTCAAACTTATAAGTACCTTACAGCCATGCCTATCACAAGGGATGAATGCGTTGATCATCTACCCAATCATGGCCCTGGCGTTGCTTGAATTCTCCATGTCGGAGCTGCGCGTGTGGAAGGCTGGATTGGCTGCTCTGCTACATGTGGTTGTGCTGACAGTGGCATGGAGGACGCATAGGCTGTGTCTGGGCCCAAGTGGTGGCTGGGTGCTCTTCGATGGCGAATGAACTCGACATAAGGCATACAAGGCCAAGCACGCGGAGGGATCTTATATTGACGAAGTACACGAATACTAATCGAGACCATTTGGCGATAAATTTTCTGGGTGATCATTCCACCATCACGTCCAACTGTGCGTCTAGTGTTTGCCGAGTGAGTAATACATGTGCTTGGATGGTGCAGAATTACACACGGATTACCAACTCGAGGTATGCTGGAAGGTATACCATGAGACCATGGCTATGCTGCGTGATATACACAACCAACAGGTATCAAGTTAGTGTGCTTGGTCACTCGCATCCTTCCACCACAGCACACTTGGATCTTCAACCGCTAACAGTCAGGAATACAAACAAGGTGTTCTGAAGAGGATTCCCTGGCGACGTTATTGACGACATCGAGCGAGACAAAAACCACTCAAACAGAGGACAATGGGGAGCAAGCGAAGTAACTGTGCTGTCAACCTCTCGAAAATCGATCCGCCGCCAAAGTTAGTATGGACCGCTTCACCATACAATGAAGTTCCGTTGTGCTCGATGGGCTGGGAACTGCAGACACCCTGCATGTATGTTTTGGCTTGCACGAAGGTGACGAGACGAATACGAGTGTACTGTAAGCACTCCTTGCCGTGACGTCGCAGCAGCAATCGGCCATTCTGCCCTGCAATTTCAGCGTGTGATCTTTTCGTGTTGCCTGTTCCTGTTGCCCTGCGGAAGTACTCGCGATACTGTACTCCGTACATCCTGTCTACTAGTCAGTGGCCTGGAGTTTTAGTGCAGGTGAAGCGGACAAGCAAGATCGAGGTTCGTTGCGTGGGGTGCTAGAGGTACCGACATATTACGTTTCATACCCTACAATCTTGGTGTAGATGAGAGGGGTCTCTAAAGAAGGGGAAGTATGCGAAGCAGGCAAATACGTATGCATACCTGCATGCGTCCGTGGGTGGGAGATCCGAGATCGTTGGCTACACTCCTACACGCGGACCGTGCACCCCCGTACTGGTTGCGAATGGGATCCCAGATACCGGGTTTCTATCCTTGACCATAGAAGCGACAGGCATCGCGAGGCTGACGGGGCAAGAGATGACGGGAAGAAGGGGAAGGGAGTAGCGAGATTAGGAAGTACGTCCTCGTGGCTCTCCACTTTCTAACGCCCACCGAGGAAGAGGAGGGGATGGTCTTCAATGCGAGGCTGTTAATTAGGTTAGGTCAGTGTTGATTCTGACATTGATGCGGCCTCGGGGCACTGAGCATCAAGCACGCACAGCGTAGGAAAGTTGAGATGCCGATGCTGGTCAGATGAGTCTACGGTATGGTGAAAGTCATGTAAGTGAGACTGAGTATTGCACCCGGTGGATATGTATGTAGGTAACGGGGAGCGTTTGATGTAAGCTGATACCGTTTAGTACCGCTCGCTCATCAAGACCCTGATCATATTGTCATTGCTTTTACATTCGTGGACCTCCTCGACCGTCGCATGCGCACTCACACTCACACTCACACTCACTGTCGTAAATCATACACCGGGTCAAACAACGCGCACCTCGCATCAATCGCACTGCTCTGAATCGACGTGTTGGTCACGCCATTTCCACCCAGATCCGCCACCACAGGCAATTGAGGCCAACCGGGTCCTTGGGTGGGGTTCTTCGCGAACCGCGCCCACGCACCCATCATGTAGGCGCTCAGTTTCTGCTCAAAGGGCGTCTGCTGGGCGTTGTTTCGGTAGGTGCCGAAGACGAGCTGGATCTCCGCCGAGTGGTAGACGCCCGCGCCGGGGAAGAGCTCGAGTTGTGGGATCGTGGCGTTGTAGAAGTATCTGATTAAGCGCAGCGGCAGATCGTGTTAGCAGAGGAGGGACACAGAGTGAGGATGCGTGTGTGTGAGAGAGAGATTGTGTGTGTGAGAGAGAGATTGTGTGTGTGTGTGAGAGATTGTTTGTGTGTGTGAGAGAGAGATTGTGTGTGTGAGAGAGAGATTGTGTGTGTGAGAGAGAGATTGTGTGTGTGAGAGAGAGAGAGATTGTGTAGGTGTGGCTTCACAGAGAATTCGAGACGACGGGCCAAGCACTGTCTCCAAGTGTACAGGACAGAGACGCAGCATACATACCTCCACGTCGGGATGCCCGCGCGCTTGGTATCCCTCAACTGCCGGGCCTGTGTGCACTGAAAGGAAAATTCGGTGTAAATCTTGGCGATTTGCTGCGAAACGTTGGCAATGCCGGGACTTCCGATCGGGTAGGCGTTCGTTATCTGACTGAGGTAGCTTTCCGGGGCGGTGGGGAGAGCAGCGGTGAGGTACTCGGTCAGGTTGGTATCGCCGTAGGTGAAGACGGTGCCTTCGTCGGCGTTTGTCCCTGCCAGGACGGGGACTTTGGCGATCTTGCCGGAAGCACGTGCCTCACTACGGTTGGCGACGAAGGTGTAGTTGTCGACCATGGCGGTGAATGCAAGGCCGAGGTGTTCGCTCGCGTTCTTGAGCGTCGTTGCAGGCAGGCCTCGCATGCATTTCAGCGCCGAGGCCGTCGTGTTACAGCCGACCGCGGCGGCGAGGGTGTTCCATGATCTGTGCGGATCCGCAACCAGAGCACGGTAGGTCCCTTGACCGGATTCTTCGATCGCGGCACGGAAAGGCGGTTTGGTTGCGAAGGAAGTTACCAGAGCATCGACCGAGAGTCCACCAGCGGATTCGCCGAAGATGGTCACTTTGGCCGGATCCCCACCGAAGGCTGCGATGTTGCGCTGGACCCAGGCGAGGGCGAATCGTTGGTCGAGGAAGCTGTATTGTATGTTAGTTTGGCACCGAGGCTTGTTGACTTTGCATCATGAATCATGAAGGAGTGTTCACCCTAGATTGTTGCCTCGAGCAGGCAGTTCAGGAGACCCAGGGAAGCCAAAGACGTTGGTGCGGTAGTTCACGGTCACGATGACAACGTCCTGGAACGCGGCAAAGTAAGAGCCATCGTACGCTGCCAGGGAGTTGGCCCCGAATGCTAGAGAGCCCTATTCAAAGACGTCAGTTCGTCATGGGGTACTCGAGGGAGTCGACGGTCTTACACCGTAAAACCAAACCATCACCGTCTTGTTCTTCCCGGTGGCCGGCGCATAGATGTTGACGTTCAAGCAGTCCTCACTCTCACCCGCCGGCGGAGGAGGAGTGTTGAACCATGAAATCGTAATGTCGTGTGCCGGGTAGGCGAATTCCTGGATACAAGCTGGCCCATACTTGGTGGCCTTGAACGGCGTCTTCCACGCCTGGGGAGCAGCTGGAGGAGCAAATCGCAGTGGCTTGGCCGCGAAAGGTACACCTAGATATTTGGTTATGTTCCGCGGAGCGCCCGGGATGGTGGTCGACACTCCTTGTACGACGCCGCTCTCGATGGTCACGGTTGGGGCACCATTGCTGCTTGGCGATGCCTGTGGTAGAGCTAGAACGGACGCAAAAAGGGAGACGATGGCTGACGAAACCTGGACGAACCTCATATCGCCTATGGGGAGACTAGGAAGCTGCTTGGTCTCCTACCTTCTTCATGGCCTGACTGTCCCATATATACATGATGCTGAAGAGGGGTTCGTTGGAGTAGGCAACAAGATCCCACTCACGGGCCTGTACCTTTCACTGTCGGCAATCAAGCAACGGCCAGGAAACCATTTTGTGGGGGAACGTCGAAGAGAATCCGGGGAAACCCTGTGATCGAGGTCGATCGCAGCAATAGGAGCCATGCCATGCCGACTGGATCAAGACACCGAGGACACCTCGGTCACGATGCGAGGACACGTCGTGTTCTCCCAATCCAGGTTTTCCATGCATCTCATCGATCCATGTGAGGTGGAACTAGAGCGAAATTCAAGAGGGGAAATAGGACCAGCCTTGCCAGAGAAGGAAGCTCATATTCGGCACACGTTGTATGAGCCTTTCAGCCAATTGCCGCTGTCTTCTTGAGTAACGAGCCTCGGCATCGTTCCGACGAGGTGTGATGGAGATATCACGCTTCAGCCATGTGTCGTGTTGCTCTTCAGGGTGACGGCACGGCCGACATTTGACGAGCTGGGGCTTTTCTTCTAGGCCTCATGGCCTTCAAAGCTTAGTATCACCTCATGGGCGTGACTCCGTCTTGACCCGACTGACGAACAGGATATGACTACCATTATTCGCACAAGGACCGCGAAAATCGGCGGAGACAAGCAGAGGAGTCAAGCGACGGAGAAACCAACGTCGTTCAAATTACTATATGTGGTATACCAGACAATTGCAGGCGCTGCAAATTCTACGCGAACCCCTTTCTCAGAATTACATCTATCACATTTGACCTCTCTTTCTCTCTCACACACATAATCTGTCCGTCGTACGCCGGCTCAGGCTTGCTGATTCATATGGCTGGGCAAATTCCAGTCCGCATAGTCGGCGTGAACAAAAGCGCGATCCACCGTCGGCACGCTCTCAAGGACGTACTGCAGACTCTCGCCGAGGTCATGACTGTCGCGTAGACTCATATTCTCATCAAGCACAATGTCGACTTCCACGTTGAGCTTGTCGCCTGTGTGATAGGCCTGCAGGCCCTGGATATGCCGAATGGGCTTCGCGAATCGCATGGCGAGGTATAGCAAGACGTTGCGCTGGTCGGCTGTTGCGGAGACGCCGCATAGATTCCGGACATGTTCGACGCTGGTTTTCGACCAGTTGAAGATGACGTAGCAGGAGAGGAGGAGCCCACCGAGCGCATCGAGCCACCATATCTGGAAGTAGAAACCGAGAAGGGGGAAGATGATGGAGAAAATATTGAAGACCACGTCTGTGGCGGCGTCTTGTGCGAGAGCTTGCACGGAGCTGTTCTTGACGAGCCGGCACCAGAACCAGCAGAAGCCCTTGATCCCGACGGTGCTCAGCATGATGGCGATGGCTGGAATGCCAAGTTCCACGACGCTGTGATCTGGCGAGAGAAGCCGGTTGAAACATTCCAGAGCGACTTGGAAGAACGAAGTTATCATTATGACGGAGAAGACGAGGACGCCCACGGGCTCGAGACGTCGTCGGCCGATCGGATACGCGTATTGGTCCTGTCGAGAAATGAGCTTGGTGGTGGTCCAGACGATGGCCGTGGAGAGGAAATCGAGGGCAGCGTCGACGAGGGAGGCGAGCACGGATAGAGACGATGTCAAGACAATGACGACGATCTTGCCGGCGAGTAAAATGATGTTGGCGACCAGGTTGATGAAGATGGCCACGGTGACAATGGGGTCGTTCGGCTCGACCCCGTTGTCGATGTCTTCGAGGTTGATTTCGGGCCATACCGAGTCTTCATGTTCCTCTCCTTCATCCGGCAGCAAGGGCGTCTGTTCGCTGGGAAGCTTGTACAGGTCCTTTGGTGTGCGTTTCAATCTTTGCTCGATGGGAGTTGGCGTGTCCGGCGCGCTCTCATCCATTGGCGCCACCACTGGGGTATTGGTGGCCGAGTTCTGTTCCTCGGAGATGGTGTTCAGGTATCCGTTCGACCGCGACCGCTGCTGGCTGTACTCCTGGATGAGATTGTGAGGCAAGGAAGAATCCAGCAGCTTGTCAATGTATATGTACTGCGTGATGAGGAAGTTGTTCCGCTCGTAATACTTTCTGATCGGCTTCTTCATCCGTTTGAGCTCCTCCTCGGTCTTGAAGTACTTGTGCCAGTGGTACCGCGGATTGCTCTGCCCTATCAACCGCATGCTGCGCATCTGGGGTGTCATGAGGATCTCCGGCCCGAGACTCATCCGCCGAGGATCGACTTCGGATGGAGGGAGGGTGCGTCGCCTGGGCGGCGACATGAAGTCCAGGTCATCATCATGTCCATGCTCTTCATCTTCGTTGGAGTGGTGGCTGTGGACGGAACCCCGTCTGGTTGTGGGCCGACGCGGCAGAGTGAAGAGGGACGCGCTCGAGCGGCTCTGGATCAGCGTGGGCAGGCGTTGTCCGCGCGTCGACAGCGTGCTGGGCTCTTCGTTGAGCGGAATGAAGCTCGACAGGCCACCCAGCTGATAATGAGGCCGTCGGGCAGAACTGGCCACGTCCATGTTTGCGGAGGAGAAATACTACGCAGCGGGCGTACGGCGGGATGTGTCGGGCTTGCGACGGAGGATCTGGCGACGCCGACAAACTCAACCGAACCTGTCGAGATGCATAGATGAGGAGCTGAGAGCTGAGACAGGACAGAAGGAGAATACCAAGACTCCCGGAGCAAGCAAGTTGGGAAGTACTCAAGAAAATTATCCCCCACAGCCACCAGCAGCGCATCCCAAATGACGCACGTTCTCCAATTTACCACGACGACTAGGACCGACTGTGTGATAGCGCCGCATGCGAATCCCTCTAGTTGGTTAGAGGTGTACCTACAGGTAGGTAGTCGAGGTTATGGAATGCTCTAGGCAAGAGGCTAGGCTGCTAATAGGCGCGCCCAACGGACTCTATTACAAGCATTCATGCGAAGTACGGAGTACAGTATTGTTTGGCCTATTTTGCTCTTCACGTACCTACCGACCTGTAGATACCTAGTTGCTCATTCTACAACGACACCCCGTTCATCTGAATCCGAGAAATCGAGCCATTCGACTTTCGTTAGCAAGCGCAGGCAGTAAAAGCAGCATTCTTCTGGACATTGCGGAATGCCAACATGCATCTCACCGTCGCTGAAGCTACTGTACCCACAGCCGAGACTTCGTCCCTGACACGAAAAAGCAGAAATAAAGCCAAGGTCCTCTTTGAGCAACGACGGGCTAGAAGATCGCATGAGCCTCTACAGGTAACTCATACACCGAGGACGGTACCAAAGACCGAATGCGAGCGCCACCGTTCCAGGCGCCACGCTTCACAAGGAAATTATGCTCACATAACAGCCAGCGCTGACGGACTCTTCTTTTCTGATATTCCCTATCGATGTCAGCAGCAGCCGCCAACAACCGCTCATCCAGCAATGTCCTGCGTTGCTCTCGCTGTTCCGTCCTACAAAGTCCCACGATCAACTTCACAAGCCTCGTCCATCCATCAATCTTCACGGCCCATTCATTTCCACAACGGTACCATCCTCGGGCTTTGCCTACAGAAACAGCACATCTCACCGTTTCACGTTCATATCCCTGACCATCCACCAGGAAGCGACTTTCGTCCGTAGCTGAGCGGAAGTCATCAAAAATAGATCAACCGCTTCCGTCCTTCGCTTTCGCGAGACCATTGATGATCAGCCTGTTCTCGCTGGTGACCGAACAGGGAAGTTCGCAGGGCTTGTTGGCTGCGAGTAGCTTCTGAATCTAAGAGGAGCATGAGACTGGGAAGACGAGTGGATGTGGAAGATTCGCGGATAGGAGGTGCAAGTAAACCTCTCATGCAGGAGACGCTGACGAGCCCAAGACGTCGAGGCAATGAGCCACCTGTCGCGATCATTACGTTTATCCAAGTACTCCGTAACGGCGACCTTTTCGCGATGCCAGCTATGTTCCACCAACTCCTACAGCCATCACTTGCCGAAGCCGGCGAAGGTGGCAGAGAATCGCGACACGCTCTGTTGGCCGGTGAGGTTGTCAGGTTCTCACATACTCGGTAGGTCCAATGCGTGTCTATCACGTGGAGTCTCAGACCACTTGAGGAAACGGTAGCTCGTATCAGCTCCATTATTCATTAATGTTAGATAGTCTAACTTCCAATCACGTACGAGTAGGTGCATCTAACAACAAGCTGTCTCGCCGGTGCTGCTTGTGCCGGTAACCATCTGGAGATCCAGCAGACTATGTCCATGATGCTCTTTTTTCTCCCAGGCGCTTGCATTCATTCTATCGTAAATCTTTAGAGCAGCGGGTGTTCATAAACGCCGTCTATCGCATTGCGTATGCCCATGATATCCTGAGGTCAGCAGATATCATCCGCATGAAATCCAAATTATATGCACAGCAGGTACAGGGCTGTGGATACTGCCGCGCCAAAAGTCGTCAAAATCATCGTCGAGAGGCGGAAGACACCTCCACTAGTGGCGCTGGCCGTCGCACTGCTCCGTGTGCTTGTCGCTGCGTTTGATTGAGTTGAGCTGTCCCCTGACCCGGACGACGACCCGGATGACGAGGTACCCGACGTACTGGTGGGAGCCGGTTGACTTGTGCCAACAGGTGTAGTGGCTGGCCGCGCATCAGGAGTGCTGGCGGCGAGAGCTGAGCAGGCACTTGGGTTGGCTTGAAGCTGGCCAATGGGTGAGCCAATGTTGGCGATCACAGCCTGTGAGTCCCGAACAACAACACTGACGCTGCCGTCGTTGCCAATCCTGACCGTGGAGATAGTATCGTTGACGAGGGTCGGTGTGCCGTCTCCGCTTTCCTCGTAGCTGACACCGTTCCACGTGGTTCCGTGCTTCGCGTCGGCACCGTCATTGGTCAAATAGTGCAAGTACAGGTCTTGTCCTGCGAATTGTGACGGTAGCGACAAATCCCAGGTCAAGCTGGGCTTGTTGGCCATTGACACATTGGCAGGATTGGAATTGATCAGCACGATGGAGGCGAGGGTTCCAGCTTGGTAGACCGAGTATGCAGCAATCCGTCCGCCATACGCAGCAGGAGGGTTGGAAACGACGTACCCACCGACTTGGGCCTGGCACGTGGGTCCGATCAATTGATCGAATGCGGCAAAGGCATAGTAATTGGGTCGCACGAAGGGCTGGTTCCCATAGTACTCGATTGGCTGCCACGCACTAGCGTTGCTATTGTCGGTCATGTGCATCTGGACTGAAGTGATGTTGAGGGTAGCCGCATAGAGGAAGAAATTGAGAGACCACAGGGCCGCACCGAAAATGTCGGTAACATCAGCCAGCCCGATGGGACCCACAACCCCCATCTCCCGTAGAGCATATGGGTATCCCGTCGCTTCTGCTTGTTGGATCTGTGAAACCCAAGCCGCAAATTGATCGTTGGTCGTGGATAAGGTCATGAAGGAATACGCTGTTATCGGGTACGTCGACACTCCAATGTAGTAATAGTAGTCGTGCTGGTTCCAGCTCGAGATGTAGGGGTCTGTGGACCCATTCGCCTTGACAGTAATGCCGAACTCTTCGAGATCCTGGATTTGGAAAGACGTGCCAATAGTGGAAGCCGTTGCGCCGGGCTCGAAAAAGTTGCTTGGCAGGTTGTTGGGCTTGAGGACTTGTTGGTACACGGCGTCGGCCCTGTCCAACCATTCTTGTGTGTAGACCTGACCACCCCACGACCCTGTTCGGAATCCGTTTTGGAGGTACAGATCGGGCTCGTTGCCGATCTCAAACGAGACCAGATTGACGTCGGACAGCCGGTTCACGGCCTGGGTCGCCATGGTGGTGATCTGCTCGATATAGTCCGACTCGGAGTATGCCAGGTTCAGTCCAAACGTGATGGGAGTGTTACTCGGAAAGCGATTGATCACCTCGAAATACCTGGGGCCAATGATCATCGAATCCGTGGCAAAGGCTCCCTGCCCAACTGCGTCGGGGTTTGGCTCCCAGCGATAGTCATCTTGCGAATCTTGGTAGATGAAGTAGTCTTGGGTGTTTCCTCCAATGCGCAGATGTGGCGGCGTCCCCGTGTAGTTCGCCAGATTCGCGAGGAGGTTCTTCGTGAGCTGGTTTTCCTCGCTTCCGCCCGTGAAGGAGTACAGGTTGGAGGATTCGATGCCGAAGCCGGCAAACGAGGGACTGATGACGCTCGACGCGCCCGAGGTCGGTTGAGCCGAAATCGCAAGAGAAACAGTGTTCTGCGCTATAGCGAAGGTCGAGAAGAGAGCGCCCACGAGTGGCAGAGAACGAGAAGACATTGCTCAACGAGGGTATAGTATATGTTATAAGTCTCACGCAGCAGGCCAACGCCAAGCTCGCTCGACCTTTTAACGTCAGACAACGCCAGCAACCGCACAACGACAGACGAATCTCGAGGACAACCAGATCTATGTGAGGGAGGGAGGCTCGACCGACAGAAAAGCAAAACCGCAGCAGCTACGAGGTACAAAGACGCCGCGGCGATCTCAAAAGTTGGCAGCCGCGCGCCGCCAATACGGACTCACAGATCTCGGAGACAGCAGCTCGCTGCTGGTTGGCGGGAGACGGTGGGAGTGACAGCAGTGGCAGTTCGCAGTTCGCAGCTCAAGATTTGGCATTCCCCACGGCCGCGCAATAACGCTGTATAACGGGCAAATTGTGGGTGGCTGGGCGTTGCATGTCGTCATGGCGCACATAATTGCCATCAAGACGGCACGATTACCCATGCGTGCCATGGCAAAGAGGTTTAGCTCTCGACTAGCAGAGACAGAGAGCGGACGAAGAGATTGTGTTCCTCCAACCACGTCTCGTGCCCTGCCGGCTAGCATGAATCATCCCCGGCAGGTGAGCCACTTCTCATCCACAGCCCAAGTCCGATGATGGTGACGATGTCCACCGGGGGAAGAAAAGTGGATGGGTGGGAGATGAGGCTCAGATGAAGGAGATGGTACGAGGTACTCGTACTCGGAAGAATTGAGAGACAAGTTGACAAACACAACGGAGCGCATGGACCTCGGCTTGAAGCTGCTTATGGTGATGCGGTCGTCACTTGCATTGCAGAGATGGCGGCGGATGTGATGACTGCTATTTCCATCCTCAACGCGGGGTGAGAATGCCGCCACGACAGCTGGTCGGCTCGGACGCCTAGCTTCTGCCACGCGCCTCCCAGACCTTCCAAGCTCTCGGCTTCGATAGTACTATACACAGCGAGGACAAGGGCGCAGCCGCTATGGGGACTACTGGTAGCTCCAGGTCATGAGGTACGATCCAAACCAGCAGCGACGCCCGTGGCTGAGGCTCTTACTGTTCTCGCCTTGTTCCTGGCGGCTGTCCTCGGATGCCAAATCCGCTTCAGCCAATGGACTCAGAGCTCACACCTCCCTCAGATCGTTGTCCGGTCAGCTCCCAGGTCAACACTTCGGACCGTGCGGAGGGGGTCTGCAGCCGACCATTACGCGGTATTCGAAACAGCTTCATGAGCATCCACTGGGTGAAGCAGTCTTCTGCTCTCGAAACAGGGCTTGCGCGGCTCCCTGCCTAATCTCTAGGGTCCCCTGCACGACGCAGTCAGGCGGCAAGACCGTCTTACAGCAGAACGAGAAGAACGAGAAGATAGATGGAAGGGATATTATCCATTAGATACACTAGCTGATAAGGAAAGGGCCAACACTGTGACCGTTTACTTCCCTTCCAGAGGGGTGCTCGTCATCATGGGGCTCATTAATGTCCTCAAGTAATGTACAAAGACCGGTGGTCGTCCCCAAAAGGTGACTGACCAGGCAAACGAGAGCTGCCGTTCCTCCGCAAGCGAATGTAGAAAACTGTGGGTATCGACTGGTGGTACAAGCATGCAAGATGGTTCTGTTGATACATGTGCTGATAAAAGGACCATGGAGAGAGCCAATCCACTGTACTGGGCGAGGCGTGGATGAGAGCGTCTCACACGTGTAAGTTCTGAGGGTAGGGCTGAATGATCGGGCCGCAAAGGGTGTCCGGATTAGTGCGGTGGGATTGTAGTGGACATATGTCGTGTTGATTAGGGGTGTTCAGAGACCAAGAGAGAGTCGTATCTGCGAGGAAGCTAGGCACCTCGGGCTGGAGTGCTGGGGAGCTCTCCTGGATGTGGGCTCACAGGCGACGGTGTTCCTGCAAGAGTGTTGTGCTTGAGAAGCGGAGGTGCCAGCGCATCGATTCGTGCATAACCTCAGGTTTCATGCACGAATGGATCCTTCGTGCCAAGCCCCTGCTACTTTCCATTGTTTGTAAGGTGTTTGCTGCAAACCTCGGGCTGTTGAAAGGTGGAGAAATGCCAGCTGTATTGCATTAGGCAGAAGCAAGGTGTCATGTGGCCTCGATACATCGGAAGAGTGCAGACTCTAGTGAGTGGGTGTTGAACAGCCATGGGATGAGACCGGAACCGACGACGGGACTTCTCGAACGGTATGGTAGTATGGAGACAGGCCGTTCTATGCGGCGTGTCTCTTGGGCAGAGCCGGTAGAGGTCGATTGGGAGGAGGACCCGGGCAGGGAGGATATTTGGAACCGGCAGGCATTGTGATATTTGAGTGTCGGCGAGGACAGATCAGGTGCTGGTCAGGTGTATGAGAAGGGCTCTGGTACTCGTAGGTGCGTCGTATATGTCCTGATGCGTGAGTCGAACGACTGGTGGGATGGGATGGTTGGTGTCTGGAAGCCTGCCTGCCTGCTGCGGAGGGGGACCGAGCCAGATATTTATTTTCTGATACAGGCAGCCTCGCCCCGGTGCGACCGAAAAATTGTTCCAGAAATGGTGACGCCGGCCACAGTCATCCGTACCTCGTACTGATTGACTTCCAGGCTGCCCTGCGCGGTGGATCCCGCTTCGTGGCTGCCGGTGGTGCCATGTTCTCATCCTTCCATGTTTGACACGCAAGATTTCAGGAGACGCCCCCTTCGTGCCCCTGGCATGGACCCCCCTGAACGGGACTAGTGCCTCATAGCTTCTCGAGTCGCCGACTAGGCTCCCGCGCTAAAACCCTCAGGCGCGCAAACTGACAAAGACTTGGTCCCAGCTGACCGGGACAGCCTGGGGTCGCTCGGGCGCGGCTCGCAAGGAGGAGATTATCGATGTCACCGCAATCATCAGCAGGTTCGGGAGACCCATCGTCTCCTTTGTCTACGCGGCGGAGCCACTTCGGTGACGATACTCCTATTGCACAACTGGAGCTTCACTGAGCCAGTTCCACTCAAAAAGCTATACATCCACAGGGCGGTGAGCAAGATAGACGTGCCCAAACTTTCGAGAGACTGTCACTCACTCGCTTGGCACCCCGTAACTCTGTGCCGAAACAAGGAATGGTTCTACCGCTATGGGAACCCAATAGAGATCGGCTTCAGCACTGAGAGTGACAGTGACAGTATTCAGCCTGCAGGACGCCGTTAATCCCGAGCCAGACGAGCGACGACCGACTCTCCGGCTGCATGTCGTCGGAAACGTCGCACAGAGGTTCCTGGTCTCGTTCTACTTCCGTCCGGTTTCACACTGCCGGAGCCGCATCCATTGGTAGCCAGAGTAAACGTGGCCTGGAAAGCTGTCATGGTGGTGTGTTGCCCACCAATGATAAATGCCGTCCGTGATAATTCGTGGACCGCTATTCTAAGAATCTGGGTACTTGTGGAAGTATTGTTGGTAAGCTGTTGGCCTCGTGATCGGGGTCAAGCTTGCAATCGTCGTCGCCAGTGTCCCGCCATACCGCTTTGTGCCTGTCAGATGAACTGCAATTGGCGCATTCAGCTCTCCAGCAACCGGAGCCCTTTTTTGGAACGATGGCAAACGCGGGCTTGCTCGGATGAGTAGAACGAACCCACTGGGCTGATTCGTCGGACAAACAGAGTTCGTGTTGAGTTTCTCTCAGACTTTCGGTTCCAGCTCCGATGCTATACTGAGGGGACCGATTCCAGACGCCGCTGATTCGTGCTCACCGGCTGCTTTCTCAGGTACTGCCTGTTCCCAAGACCTCGCAGTCCTTGAAGGAGGGGTTCTTCGGATGTTGTGATCGCTGATGTCTTTTTGCTCTTCGCTCGCTTAGTTCATGTCACGCGGAGGCACTGTTTCAGGTGGTGGCCAAGCGCAGCGCTTGGATTGGGCATTACTACATAGGTACCGGCTCACCGGTCGACAAGGCCAAGCGAACGAGTCACCAAAGTGACCTGGCCGGGGACACAGGCAAACATCGTTCGTCGATGATGGATGTGCAACCTTGACAGGCACCGTTATTCGCAGAACCACGGCAACAATGGTGGATTATGCAGTCATAAGCAATCCACTTCCTGTAACGGTTGTTTCAAGGGGAAGTCTGGTGTTCGGATCAGTTGCGGCTCAAGCCCTGATCTTCCAGGCCCCCGTCGGATGGCTGGATGGTGGTCAGCTTCGGGTTCCTGAAGATCCTCTTCAGCGTGCCCCTGGATCACCATGATCTGTTCGCCACCCCCCAACTGTTACTGACTCGAATACGGGTACCATCGCTGAAGCAGGAAACTTCTGAATGGTGTGTTTCAGATTTGCTCCTGAACGACAATTTACGCACGCACTCGGCTGTGATTGTCCTTTCCGCTGCAAACGAGAAAAAGTCTTTTCAGGCGCTTGCGCGTCTGATGTCACGATGGGCGGCGATACGCAACGGCTCTCGTCACACTTCACCGACTGCGGCGGTAATCATTGAGCATACATCGCGCCGGTCGGTCACCGTCCCAGCCAGGTGGACTACCTCGTACTCTCTGAATAGCGACTCGCAGTTCTCCTGTGTGCCGCTTGGCCCTCGTTCTCGCTCTGACACCCTACCTTGCAGGACGCACGTTGCCAAGTCAGCTGAAAAATCAATTGTGGCTTCCTGCCGGACATTCCGACTGTTCTAAAGTTGGAAGGCCATTTGATGCTTGTGGTGGCTGCCACTCGCTAGTCTAAAGTATCTCCTCGGTTGGCCGAATGCCTCATTTCTCGAATTCTGATCAGGTTCCATGCACTTGCCGTTTCGCAACTAGCTCTGTGCAATTTGGAGATTGAATCAAACAAACGCATGGACCAGAGCAGGTTCAGGGTGAGGCCAGGAATTCATGCCGCAGCTTTGACGCACTCGTCGTGTAACAGTGCCCTTCGGACCTCCATGCCTCGAAATTAGCTTAGCAAGCAGTTCCTGGCGAGAAGCGGGAACCAGAATACTGTGTGGACATGGGACTAGATTATGAGAGACTCTCGCTGACTCATGGTGACGGAGTATCTGACTGCATTCAAAGTGGCCCGCCGCACATAAGACGCTTCCAATAAAAGTAGCTCACTGATACTGCAGTGTCGCAGCGAAGCTGTTCCGGAAGATGAGGGCGGCATTGAGTTCTCGTCCAGTGACACTTGCGCTTCCGGCGCAGCCATCGCATTGGGAAGCTCTGCACAGCCCCGATCTGGAAAGAGGTAATCCAACGCTACACAGTCATTCTGCATGATGTTATGAACTGACTCTCGCCTGGCCGTATACTTCGACTGCTTCACCATCTCCTTGAGACCTGATGGGAGGGTGGAACCGGCGTCGCCGCAGAAGAGAATGGCTCATGGCTGGCCCCGTACTCCGTACCTCCATGCATTATGCAGGGTCCGAGCCGACAGGGAAAGGGGGGCCAGCCACAACCACGTGGAAATTGCGCGAACAGACGCCACAAAATGCACTGTCTGTCCAATTTCGTCCACACTTGGCACTGCTTCATGCAAGTCATGTTGTTCTCGAACCGAGATGGGGCATGTTACACATAAGCCCACTTGAGAAAGGTTGTTCTCGTAGCGGGCAGCCCGCAAGCATAATGTGGTACTTCGTATCATTTCGCCAGCCAGCGAGTCGTCTGGTGGTGAAGCAAGCGTCAAGGGCAAGGCCTAGGCCTTGATTTCTGGGCCATGTTGCTGCCCTACACGATGAGTGTCAGATGTGGTCTCTGAAATTCTCCATGACACAGCTTGGCTTCGCTGCAATGTCGCACCCGAGAAATTGCTCATGGCAGCGCTGTCTGTGCGAGTGAAATCACAAGTCACCGTCGTTTTGCTCCTGCGTTGATTGAATCCAATCTTGCATGAGTGCCTGCGAATTGCCTTGGAGTCCTGACTGTTTCTTGCTAGCGGGGCCTTTGCGTTCAACGAAGAGGCACAATACTCGACCCCAGATACTAAAACCCTCATATGTGGTGTCGAACCCGAGCGTTTTCTTGTCGTCCTGCTCGTCCAAATCAAGACCGCTCCCTGCGACCGGCGCGCCGTCATTGCTGTCTGGGTCTCCCACCGCAGGTATAGTTCCCAAGTCGACGCCTTCGTCCTCATCCTCGTCTCGAATTGTGACTGCGCCGGTCATCTTGTTACCGTTGTTGCTCTTTATGGGAGCCTTTTCTCTGAAGGTCTTATTCTTAATGATCAGGGAATGGCGGGTGTTGATCTCAGTGAGGAAGATGGAAACTTCGAAATCATCTGGAGGCATCTGTTAGCGAGGACCCAAAACAGCCATCGGACAGAGAGGGCTCGCCTTGTTTTACCACATCTTTGATACTCTTCTTCTTCTTGCCCTTGCTCTTTGCCCGTTCAGTTTCCTCCCTCAGCTTTGGTAGCACGTAGGGTTTCACTGCTTCGAAGATTCTCGGGAGCGCAGGGTTGCTCTCGTTCAAGAGCCAGCGCGGCTCGTCAGCTGGATTCTCCAGGAATATCCGGCACTCAAGGACAGAGTACTTGCTGATTCGCAAATATCGTCGTATTGGCGCCATCACCCAAGTTCAATGGCGCACACTCTCGGTCACGAACACATGTGCACGGCAGGATCGCGAAGCGCGTCATTACTGCCAAGAGATTAGATAAGCGGCAGATTCACCAACTTCGCAGCTACTTTGCAATTTAGGTGTCCGACGCCCTCATACGCACAAAAATACCGAGTCGAGATTGAGAGACGCGATGTTTGCGGAATTGCCGATTCGCCACGTTTCCTCGAAAGTCGGCATATTCCTTTCTCGGTCGGACGCGAGTTAGAGGAAGGACCGCCGCTTGCGGAATCTGGAGGGAGAAGCACTCTGAGTTCATCTGGACTTGTGACGCATGTCTACCCACAGATCTCGAGTTGGACCCAGTAGCTTTTCTACCACGCTTGGTCTCAACGCCAGGCAAACTTCCAAAAGCATCGCTATCTGGCTCACGAGCCCTCCAATGGCAAGATGGCCCCACTGGACTGGAAGGAGCCGTGATGCAGCATTACGTCCTGTTCGGCAGCACTGAATGCATCGCACTCTTACGCTATGAGCAGATCGTGCTTTTGATGGCAGTGGGAACAGACCTCTGCAATCCGCAGCCCGTTTTCTGTGTTCGTCATGCTGTGACGAAGGAAATGGACCCGGTAGGTCATCATTCTATCTGGCGTGAACTGGATCATACCATCCAGCATCTCATTCCACGTCATCGTGCTGAAACTCTCGGCCTCGCCGTGATGGTGTCTCGGGCTCACATCTCTGGGAAGTTTCATCTCATAAACTTTTTGGCAGTGGTGCTGACATCGCTTCCTCCATCGTTGGTGACTGACAGCTGGCAGGTGACAGCGCCGAGGCCGCATGTGTGTATGGGTGTAATCTTCCTGGATGACCGTCCCTTCGATGACTTCGCGCCGCATTCCGTCATTCCAAACTCTGTGGTCCGCACATCACCCGACACTGAGCTGTCAGGCAAGTCCGCGAGCGTGGGTCTGGTCCACGAACGTCTCTGAACCTAATCGCTGTTGCCGGTCGGTGGCTGGCAGCTACAAGGTCTCTGTTGACATATATGTCGTCATATGCAAACCATAGCTGACAGCACCGAAAAGATCGACACCACATCCATCCGTGCCCATGACGCAGTCCCGACAGGGGCGTACAGAGGGAAGTCATCTACGAAGTGGTTGTGGACGAACGAGTCCGCGCTGGCAGGTTGACCGTGGCGGCCGTCTCCTGAATAACCCACGCCCACTTCAGAGGTTTCCTTGTCCTGCTCGAGTGTCTGCTGCTGAGGGTCGATCTGCCTAGCCAGAAGCCCGGCCATATCCTCAACGAAGTCGATATGAAAATAATCCAATGGTCGGGCAACGCCAGCCACGGTGAAATAGTGAAAGTCATGGGTGCCTGGATCAATGCCGGTCGAGTCAATATCTGGGCCTCTTAGCATATTAGGAACTCTTCCTCGTCATCCGCCTCGTGAGTCCCTTCGATCAATGATTCCGATGGCAGAGAAGGCGAGGATGTTGCGTGCCGTTATGCAAGAGATGTCGGTGCAGAACTTGATCGAACTTCAAGCGGAGGAGATAGGACGTTTTTACTATCGCACATTACCAACACTGGAAGACGCATGCACGAAGCGTTCTCTATTGCCACTGCAAAGTTCTTAGCCAATCTCCAAACACTCATGCTATTCTCCCACCAGTTGTTTGCGTCGGGTGCCTGCTCGCTGGCCAGTGAGTTTCAGTCTCCAGTATCGTTACAACAAAGCGATATGTGCGTAGGGCAGCTTGGCGCCACTTGGTCGTCGTGGTGGGCATCACCGGCCACCAAGAGTAGCAACATGATTGGCCTGGCCATCACATCGCGCTAATCGCCATTGTTATATAGGAACGTCAGGCTTCATCCTTCTCTTAGCGTGAAAGCATTGAAGCGGGTGTCCAGCCTGCTGCGTCTCGATGGGCAGCAATATCGATCGAATGCTGATTTTCTTTCTTGCCAACAGCGACAGGCGCGACGAAAATCCTCGTTCCTGTCTGCATTGTAGTGGAAGACTTCTGACGCATTTCCCCCTGAAAGAAGCATCTTGCTAACATGCCTTCAGAAGACCAATTGGACAAGCTGACGTAGTATGCTGGTCGTCGTCACCATCCAGTCAGCTGCATCAATGGCCGTAACAGCCAGACTCACATCCTTGGTGGTTGGTACTAGAAGCTCCTGAGATATTCGTCCACTTGAATAGAATCGGTGACATGCCGTCAAGAAGTGTTGACAATAGGGTTCCTGATAGTCTGGTCGTTGCCGCCAGCATCGACTGCAGTAAAACGTGTGATGGCCAGCTACTCGGCTCCCACCACCACCACCACCACCACCACCAGCACCACCGCCATCTCCTTTGTAAAAGCGACATGGCCATCGTCGTCCCCATCGCAGCGGCCGAGACGCCTTCCTGGAAGGGCAGCAAGGAACAGAAAGCGAGCCCTCCGATGCCGAGTCGAGACAAATCATATTACCGTTCTGGATGCATATCGTTGGCCTCAGGTATTCGCTGTTCGACGTCCATACGCTCGACAGCGATGAACTTGCCCAGCGAGCCTCAACGGTCCTCCACGGCGATGGCCACAACTTCACACTGTCGTCTTCCCTCTCGATCTGTTTCCATCTCGTTGTCCAGTATGCTCGGGAGCAGTGCCGCCCTCTTCAGGCACTCTCAGCATGGCATCTTCCTCAACCAAGACCCCGAACTTCTCTCGTCCTCTGGAGGCCACCACAGAGACGCCCCCAGCACCAGTGCCCAAGGAGATGCACACCACACAAAGTAAGTGTCTTGTGTTTGGCAAACAAAAGAGGACACAGCCTCACTTTTGTCACCAGAAAACAGGAATGAATGAGCAACTTCACCTTCACCTCACCTTCACCAGCACCAAAAGCCGCTAGTGACACCGCCCTTCTTCCCTCGCAACAAAGTGAAGCAGCTGCGTTCTCTGACCAGAGGCGAGAGAAATCTGCGCCCACACCTGAACCGAAACTTGAACCTCAAAGATCTTTGACTCGTTTATGGTACCCACGAGCTCCTCTTCATCTTTTGAAACCCTCGCAAACCATGGACTCACAGCACCCAGCAACGACATCGGCGCCATGGACAAGCCCATCATGGAATTCCGCCCTGAACTCTGGCCTGTCCTAGACAGAAACCGACCGATCCTGAACATTGACCTCTTCTGGCCGATCAAAGCTGAAGACATGGACGACACCGAAGTACAGAACAGCGACGGCGACCAGAAGGGCAACTTCCCATTCAGAGACCTCAAGCGTCTTGTCTCGTTCCGCAACCTCCACGTCCTCCACCTCAGTGGCATGATGAGATCCTACCAGCCGATCATCTGGGAAGCCTGCTTTGTCAATTCGAACCTCACCAAACTCACACTCGAAATGGCGCCAGAACCAGAAATCAACGACGGTGAGGCTTTGCTTCCATCCCCTCTTCTGCCATTGCGAGTTTGTTTGTTTGTTTCTCTGCTATTCTTTGTACAAATCAAACTAACAATGCCATCTCTTCTCGCCGCCGCAGTCTTTAAGGCGCAATACAAGAAGATCGACAGCAACTGGGCATATGACGGCTCGAAACCCTGCTACACCGAACCGACCGAATACCTGGGCGGCTCTGAAGGTTCAGGCGAACTGCACCCGCAATTCGGTAGCGGCGAGTATCTCGACCGCACCGCCATGAAGCAAGCACAAGCCGCGGCGGTGAAGGAGGAACTTCCAGCCGCGAACAAGCGCCATCTGCCCATTCAGACTCTGACGCTCAGCAACTTCGCCGTCGATGCCGGTCCCTTCGTTAGTTGCTCACCCATCCACACCCACACACACACACACACTCACTCACTCACTCACTCACTCACTCACTTCTCCACCTGATTTCGGCTTCAGCTTCGGCTTCGGCTTCGGACTGACTTGTGCTCCCGCAGTTCCGCTGGTTCGACCCAGAGCGCCTCAGGGAGGTCATCTTCAAGGGCACCTGTTGGGACGCAGGTTTCTACCTGCCCAACGAGATGCGTCGCGTGGTGACGGCGAGGGGGCGTCCAAAGCCCAAGCCGGTAGTTGCCAGGGTCATCCAGCCCGGCGAGCTCAAGGTGGTGACACTGAGCAAGGGCAAGGTGGTGAAGAGGGAGGACTGGGGATGGGGAGAACCACCTCCCTGATCCTGAGGCTGGTGTTGGTGTTGGCGGCAAGGGCCTAAAGTCAAAGGTCAGCCAGATGCTGGGGGTGGGCAAGAAGGCCACTAAGGAGTAGAAGGGTTTGGTGGTCGTTGTTGTCGTTGTCGTTGGCGGTGTCGGTGTCGGTGTCGGCGGTGTCGATGCCCCGGCCGGCGTCGTTTCGACGTCGTCAGAGCACAGCGCGTGGAGAGAGCGCGAGCCGCAGGGCTCAAAAATGACAAATCACACAATTGAAAACGAGCACCCTCTATTCTGTTGACATGACTTCAGCTCCAATGAAAACGACCTTCTCAATGAGACCGATTATCTTACAATGATGAGACGACCACTTCCGCACACCCACCGTGTCCACTATGCCTTGGCGACGGCCACATCCGTGTAACCCCGTCATGCCGTATCAATGACCTCCCGGCCGCGCTCAGTACTTCTGATATCCCCTTCCACTGGGATACCCATACCCCATCTGGTTCGGATTCCTACCTCCTCCCATCATGGGACTCCCCTGACCCTGGAAACCCGCGCCCACATTCCCCATCATCGGGCTCACCGGGCTGAAATGCTCGACACTGGCACCCATCATTTTCTGCTCGTTCCTCATTCGGTTCATGTCTGCTCTATAGGCCATCACCTCGCCTTGCATCTTCTCATACTTGGCATCTTCAATGAGTCTCTCGTGCTTGCCTGCGCGGCGTTGGCGCACGCAGCAGAATGCAAAGACCAAGATCGCAAGGCCGATGACGCCGCAGACAACGCCGATGATGATGTACTTTGTGGTCTGAGGGAGGCCGTTCCATTTCTGGGAGACCGTCTGGGAGGATGAGGCGGAGTTGTTGCCGTCGAGGGAAATGGGTTTAGTCTCGCTGTAGGAAGGTCAGCGTATGTAAAATGGAAAGGGGCGGAAAATGCTTACTTGAGGATCTTGATGCTCTGCCAGCTGCCCGAGGTATCACCATACACGTATTGAGTTCCTCGGCTAGCATCTGAGACACGGACGGACTTGACGGCCATGGTGAAGGGGACGTCGTCGTAGTTTGTCTCACCACCAGCCCAGTCGATTGTGCCCTGCGGCTGTTTCGGGTCACCACCGGCCCAGATACCGAGCCTGACGTCGCAGGGAGTCTGGGGGAATTTGAGACCATTGTTGGCGTCCTCGTATTTCAACGTGCGGATGATGTTTCCGTCAATGATCCAGTCCAGCTTTTCGGGTGACCAGTCCAGTGTATAGTTGTGCCATGTGTTTTGAGGATCCTCGATAGGATACCAGATGGCGTTGCCGTAATCTGTCTGGTTGCCCTTGCTGAAGAAGTTTGTTTCGACGTATGAATTGTTCCCTCCAATGAATTCCCAGTCCACCTCATCCAGATCCATTGACTGCAAGACCATCGAGCTGACAATACCCTGCCCTGCTGCTGGCTTCATGATGATCTCGACTTGGCCGAAGAAGATGAAGAAGTTGCTCTGGACTGTGGGTGATTGGCCTTGTTGAGCGATCGTGAATTCCGCGCCATCGTCTCCGTAATTGATCGGTCTAGCGGTGACGTTCCATACTTTCTCAGACATGGTGTTCTGGGTGAAATCGATGGTGTAATTGGCGACCCCGAGCGCGGTGTTGGGTGGGCAATCCGTCTTCTCCAAGGGATTGCATGAGGTGAAGGTCTGGCCATAGGCCGTGGCGAGGAGCGACAGCAGGGCAACGGATGTCGCCTTGAAGGAATACATGGTGGTAAGCGGATCTACGTCCCTCAATGTACTCGATGGTGAGATCTAAGTCAAGTGATAGACGATTTCTGTTTCTTGCTGCAGATGCGCCTGAAAGCGACTCCAGGTCCTTCCAGTGATGGCCGTGCGTTGCAGTGAATGTCGGGGCGCTTGGACGCTTTGCAATTGTTTTGCTAAATACAAGAGAGAATGAGCGTGGATTGCGTCGCAGCACAGCGCGACAAGCAGTTGAAATGAGAGACAGCGAGGCAGAAGGAGCGGCTACGGGCGACACGACGGTGTGCTCATCGAGAGGGAGGTCAAGGACAGGACACGAGATGCTTCATGAGTATCTCAGCAAGCTGTTTGAGAGCTCTCGCCAAGGGGTGATTGGCGTGGATCATGAAACGCGTCCTCGGCCAAATCGGTGTTTGATTTCGAAAAGGGGCACGCCAAGGCGCAAGTCCGCCAATCAGAGAGAGGGTGTCGGCCGCGCCTGCCTTGTCTTGTCCAACCGTTCCTGCCCCATCCCCAGCCGCCGTTTAAGCCAGAAGGGCCCTTGTGGTCGGCCTCGGCAGCTTCATGACGGTGGCGTCTGCAAACTTGTGCACACTGATACTACGAGTGAATTACCCCGTAGAGACCCGGCTTCTTCTTGACAGGAATGCTGGATAGAATGCACTCCTTTCAACACGTGACCGCGCTTGGAGTTGGGCAATACTCGTACCCGGCGAGCCAAGATCAGCATCGTACGAGATGACCAGATCGACAAGGAGCAATTTGCCAGCTGCTGTTCCACGCCTATCACCATGAAAATCGATGTCACCAATGTGGCTGTGCATCCAATACCCCGTCAGGCATGCCGAGTCCCAACGAGCCCCCATATTTGCACTTTGGTCAAAGGAGTACGAAGCACGGAGTATCGTCAAGATACTGACCAGATCCATGGATTTCGAATGACTTATACAATATCCATTGTCAAAGCTCTGCACGGCGATAGCTGTTGAAGGTACTCGGCGCTGGTAGTAAATCTAATTCCAAAGCAGCTACTCTTCGGAAGAACAAGCAACCGGTGCTTGAATTGAACGTCGTACTCACAAGATCACGTCTCCCGAGCAGAACAACGCAAAGCTAAGGAAGCTGCGTCTGCGGAAGCACAGCAGGCGAACGATGGTAGCGTTTGACTCAAGAGTCGTCGATGCAGCTGGCCATCTGTTTCGCATGGATAATGATCTTGGACACGGCTGGTGGTCCTCGAAGCAAGAATGGTACTGGACTGGCTGTTGTGCGAATCCAAGGTCTTGTGCGGTAGCGCAACTCCTACACCAGGAACCCCTAGAGGCGTCTTGCGAAGGACGGAATCTACGCATAAGAGCAGTCATGGTGAGTAAAGGCATGATCAACAATGTTTCTTTCTTCACAGTCTCCGGTCAACACACTTCCGGGAATGATCCCGTATCTGACATCTACAGCAACGAGGTTGCTTGAATATGCCCCGCTCCCAGTACATGGGACAACGAGTGCAGCCTCTTGTGAGAAAGCACTGCAGTTCGTTCACGTCTCTGATGCCTCGCTTTATCTCCGTTAAGTCCTGCATCATGATGTCAGGCCTCCAGCATCGTGGGTCTTATTAAAAATCCACCTTTTACCTCATGGACGTGACAGCCTCGTCGCGATCCGAGTAGGTGATGAACAGCGTATACCCTCGGTGGTTCTTTGATGTTCTATTCACTCATCGAATTCCTGTTTTCTTCACGCTCCTATACTGGACTGAACAAAGTCCCTTAACCCGCAGCAGGTAGGACAGTGGCTGTTTCCCCCTAATAAACCGTCCTACCAATTATCAGATCTCATGGCTCAGACCAACCAAGCGGCCTGGCTTAACGAAGTCAAGCAGAACTTCGTGATTGGGTCCGCTGAGGTTGGCAAGCCAGCCAAAGGCGAAGTCCTAGTCAGGAATCACGCCATTGCGATAAACCCCGTCGACCACGCTCAGCAGTCGGGCAGCTACCCGCCAGGCCGCCTCCCGCGAATCCTGGGCAACGATGTCGCGGGCGAGATCATCGATGTCGGCGAAGGCGTCAGTCAATTCCGCAAGGGCGACCGCGTCCTCGGGCACTGCACGGCTCTAAATACCGACGAGGCCAAACACGGTGGTTTCCAGGAATACACCGTCGTGCCGACGGTCGGGTGCGCCGCGATCCCCAAGGACATGAAATACGAGGACGCCTGCGTATTGCCGCTCGCTATCTCCACTGCTGCGTTGGGGTTGTTCCACAAGGAGCACCTGGGGCTGCGCCTCCCACGGGCAGAGCAGAGAGAAGCACTCAAAGGAGATGCCGAAGCCGTATTAATCTGGGGAGGTAGTTCGAGCGTCGGCAGTGCGGCGATCCAGTTGGCCGTGGCGGCCGGGTATACAGTCATCACGACAAGTTCGCCGCGAAATTACCTGCTTTGTAAGAGTCTGGGCGCCAGTGAGGTTTTTGACCGCGCGAGCCTGAGTATCGTCGGGGATTTGACGAGTGCGATGCAGCAATACAAGTGTGCAGGGGCCTTTGACGGTGAGTGCGAGCACATGGAGAAGGCAAGGAAGTGCAACGAGACGGACTGATTGCTGACTTGACCATGACGTGGGGTTCGATTGAACAGCGATTTCCACGAGAGACACACAACTCAATGTTGCCCAGGTGTTGGCGCAGCTTGGTGGTGGGAGGATAGCGCTCTCGTTGCCTGCTACGCCGGATATTCCAGCCACGGTGAATGCGAGGATGAGTGAGTCCGCCACGATACAGTTCATATCCCACCTACCTCCCTACCCACATACCCGCATACCTACCCACCCGGAACATGTGACGATGAAAACGAAGACCTTGCTGCGCGGTACACTAATGAGCAACGTGTCTGCTAGTTTTCGCGGCTTTCATCTTGAGTCAGGACAAGGCGCTCGGCAGGGAGATATACGGCGATTTCTTGCCCGCCGCACTCAAGGACGGGAGGATCAAGCCGGCACCGAGGGTCGACGTCGTGGGTCATGGCGTCGAGCATATCCAGGCGGCAGTGGATAAGCTGAGGGCCGGGGTGTCGGGATCGAAGGTGGTTGTGACGCTTTGAGTAGTCCTCACACTGTAAAGTCGCATGTAGCTCGTCACCCTCTGTGAGTGTCGGGCGGCTGCCACTGTGCTGTACCTCTCAAAGGGAGTCAAGCTCTTCTCCTGGCGTCCGGCATAACTTTGTAATGCTAGGAAGGTAGTGCAGTAGAGATCGAGAGCAGTGAACTCCCGCTTCCTTGTCCATAAATGCAGGCTTCAAGACTCAATAACTAGAGGTATCCCAACGAGGCGGGCCACAACGGCTTGACGCCTTGCCGGTGATACTAGGCACTGAATTCGGCAATTTCCGCAACTCGAGGACCAACGTCGAGGAATGTGATTGGACAGCGCTAACGCAACCAATCGAAAGTGAAGGCAACCGCTCACCCCTGGTTGCCGCTCACCTACAGTCAACTAAGCGGGATCATGTTCTGTGCTTTCTCCGACACCCGCATCCAAACCACAACACTGTTCAGTCATCACAACACATTTCAACAACAACACCAAGACACTATCAGATCGCAAAATAGCAACTGTAGCGATTTCATGCTACTCAAATCAATATCACTTTCACATTGGAATCATCAAGACGAAGTAGGAATTCATAAATAACCATGCCACACAATTATGGCCTCAACGGTGCGAAAATGATCTCTACAGCTTCAACCATCAACACCATGATTGATGGCGAGACAAGAGATTTCGAGGGGAAAGAGGGGCATCATAGGTCCAGCGCGGGGTAACAATCCTGCAATCTCAGACTTTCGCCAAATGCCTCTGTCCCGGTGCTACCCAGCGCTCCCGGCGAAAGGTCTGCCGGACCGGTGTCACATGAATCTGGGCGGGAAAACGCACTGGTCCAAGTCAGTGGGCAACCTGCGCACCCTCGATCGCCGACAGTATGGTATCGACTTCGGCGATGAGGTGAGTAAAGTGTTGTCGGGCGGCTCGACGAGGGTGCCAGGCTTCGCTACGAGAAGCGGAGCTGGCATACCGCTGAAGGGCGGCAGATGGAGCGGCTGCCTCTGGATTGAGATCAGCTTCACGCAAGGTGAGGGGTTTAGAAGCCGGGTCGAGCTTACCTGCTACGCCTGCGACAGCAGGATTACGATCATCGATGCCGGTAGACGAGACGACCATGCTGTTGTGGTGGCTGCTATCATCACCTGCACCTTGGTTGGAGTTTGAGGCCATGACTGAGACGGGTGCGCACCGAGGAAGGCAAAGATGGCTTCGATAGGGTCTATAAGATGGCGAGACAGTGAGTTGCAAGGCAGATTAGTTGGGAAGGGCAGGTGAAGAGAGAAGAAGCACTGGCTGCAGGAGACTGCAAATGCATCTCCGTTTTATACTATGATGTGACTGGGCCAGGGTAACGCAGAGGCAAGGCGAGCTGTAACGCCCGGGATCTTTCCAATCCCCGTCACCCAACACATGTGCAGACCAGTGGACAGTTTGAGCATTTGCCCAGGAGGGAGGACCGAGAGCATTCACCACCCTGGAGAGTCCCAGGACAGCCACATCACCAGGAAGGCAGGGGCGAATGAAGTGAGATGCGGTCCGCATCCTCGTGTATGCTCGCCTCCGCCGTGGTACTGGTTGGTCGTGTACCTGGCCCGACGGTGTTAATTGCTCGGGCACGGCTATGGGCATACAAATGCCTGTCTAGGCTGTAATAGCGAGTGCCATGGGAGGTGACTGAATGAGAAAGCGCCTTGGTTGACTGCGGCGTTACGATGTACAAGATACCTGATCGACCTGGGCCTTCGGCACCCTTCCAGACCGGCCCAGGTCCCCTGATGGCATTTGGGGAATGCGCAGTAGGCTGGACGACGGTCGCTTGAGCAGGACTCGGGACTGCCGCATACGCCGGTTCTGTGTAATCCGCAGTCATTCCGACGAAATCGGACACTCACTACCTGTATAGCTGGTGTTACCGACATCAGACAGTCCATAGCCCCATCAGAATCGAATTGTTACTTCCGCACCGCAATCAGAAAAGATACCCAGCGGTAGGAAGCATGCGAGATACAGAACTACACCCGGCTAGCTACGCCGCCTTTCAATTCCATCCCCTTCGCTTCGCGTTTTATTTTTGCTTCAGCCGGCCAGGTGGAGATTGAGTATGCGACGGGGGCCCATGAACGGCTTTGCAGACATAGCATAGGCGAGGGAGATCTCATGGCAGGCATCCTCAGGGTCGTGCCGCTCTTGCTGGGATAGACTGATGTCGTACCATAGTGGGACTAGCTACAGCAGCCCTAGCATCCGACCGCCTCACGTTCCGAGGCGAGAACACAATGTCAGGCAGATTGAGTCTGTGGTGGCACCAACCCGGGGTTGGCACTTAGCACAAGTCAGGAATGCACATCTCCGGTTTGATTGAAAAGCATTGTTACACTAAATGCAACAGCCCGCTCTCACCGCTTTACGTGTGCAACCACCTCTACACCCACCCAGTCGGGGTTTTCGTAAACAGCACACTAACACAGGTGGCCGGAAGAGTCGGTCAGTGTGCAAAAGTTCGAAGAGCCTTGAAGGGAGAGGACGTCATAGCGCAAGCATAGTGATTCTGGGATTGATATCTATTCTCATCCGGGCGAGTGTCGGCATGCAGCTCACCCGCACCAAGCGCAGACAGTGGTCTAGAATCCAAGCAAGGCTATTGGAACCAAGCTGCTGACTGTCAACACTCTTTGCCATTGACAAGCCCCAGCTTGCTCATGCAGAATGCAGGAACAGCCCATCCTTGACAGAAGCAGCCAGTCGATCTGCGTGCTGGTCCCGGCTCCGACTGTACCAGCTGTACAGGCAGGGTTACCTCAGTTCCATGTGCGAAATAGGCCCCAGCGCTTGATTTCCATGTATTGCGTCTCTGAAGGGCTCTCGACGTTGGGTTCGCCCAAGATGAGGCTGGAATTTGACTGTACTCTGTGGTTCGCCGACAGAAGCCGAACGCCATGCGGCTTTCTTGTCCTGCGGCACCGCCACTGCCTTGTGCACCCAAACGTCGTCAATCCTAGCATCGTTTAGCTGGAGGCGCAGTTCTTCGTACAAGTTTGGGGTGGCTGGTCGGAGGCGCCTTGACTGACGCTTCCTGCATTGTGCCCATACTTACACAAAACGCATTTACTTACGTCGTCAATGAGAACGGCTTCTTTGAGTCCCTTGCTGGCCTCATCAGCGCAATTCAATCGATATGATGATCTCAATAAATGCGGAAGCTGGTCATCGTGTCCCGTCACATGCGCTCTGCATTGAAGCGGGCCAGGTTCTGCTAGTTTCTTTTCATTGAGCAATTCGACAAGGAACGATGGAAACCGCCTTGGCCAGCAGGAACAAGGTAGCTAAGGCATGAACAGATGGTAGTAGTCTGTCCAGTCGAGATACTCCCTGTCGACTCAATCCCCTCGTTTTAGGGGCCTGCGGCAGAGACGGTACTCATGGTAGTCGCTCACGTATCGACAGAGGCACCTCAATGAAAGAGTTATGCGCTAGGATGGCCTCGAGCTGCGAAACCCCCATGATTTGCTGCGTCTATTGGTCGAACACGACGCACCAATCTGGTGAGTGCTGAGCGCTTCCACCATGCTTCATATTTCCAGACTCACTTCGCGCGATGATGGTGGTCGATATTCCGTCAAGCGAAGTTGTGGTGAAGGTGAGCGGAAAGGAGGGTTGGGCTCGGGTGAACCTCGGCCACTAGGTGAAGCCATATGCCAATTACCTATGTAATTCACGCCTGGCGGTCATGCCCGCAAGTCAGATATCAGAGTCGCTGTCATCGTTGTCATAGCCGCCGTCATTCAGGTACACGACGTGCATGGTCTTGTGCGACGGCTAGAGTGCTTCACTCGGGTTTAGCATAGAAGAATGCAACGACCTTGATTGCAGCCTCTTCTTGTTCCTCTCCCGACCGTGATCTCAGGTTGACCTGAAGTTTGATCTCGTGCTCACGAAGATGGCACAACCCAAGCTGCCTGAGGGCGTCTCCTCGTTCCTCGACACTGACCTGTACAAGCTGACTATGCAGTGCGCGGTCCTGAAGTACTTCCCCTCGGTCGATGTCGAGTACAAATTCACGAACCGCACTCCTCAGATGCGGCTGAACCGAGATGCCTTTGTATGGCTGGAAGAGCAACTCCGCAAGCTGGCGAATATTAGACTTGGGCAGCAAGAGTTGCAGTTTCTGCGAAACAATTGCCCATACCTGAGCGCAGACTACCTAGACTATCTACAAACGTTCCGATTGCGGCCCGAGGAACAAGTCCAACTCAAGTTCAATCAAGTCGATGACAGTGAATATGGTGATCTGGACATCACTGTTACTGGCCTCTGGGTCGAGACCATGTTATACGAAATCCCTCTTCTTGCCTTGACGAGCGAGGCATACTTCAAGTTCGTTGACAAAGATTGGGACTATGACGGACAAGAAGAGCAAGCATATGAGAAAGGCGTACAACTGTTCGGCGCAGGCTGCGTGGTGTCGGAGTTCGGATCTAGAAGGAGACGTGACTTTCACACACAGGATCTTGTTATCAAGGGACTGGTAAGGGCATCAAATGAGAAAGATCTTCCCGGAAAGTTGTCGGGTACAAGCAATGTGTACTTTGCAATGAAGCATGGCATTCCACCTGTTGGAACGGTAGCCCATGAGTGGTACATGGGTATTGCTGCGCTTACCAATGACTACGAGCATGCAAATGAAAACGGCCTGCGATATTGGCTCGACGGCTTCGGCAAGGGAGTACTGGGGGTAGCTCTCACCGACACGTTCGGCACAGCAGACTTCTTCAAAGCATTCAAGAAAAGGGTACCTGCGCGAACTTCAGCCTCGCAGGACTCAACAACGGGATATAGCGACGAAGGCGACTCGACGGACACGCAGCCTACATACGCTGAAGTGTTTGCGGGAATTAGGCAAGATTCTGGTGATCCGAAACAGTACATCAAGGATGCCCACGACTTCTACAAGTCCATTGGGGTGACTGGGAAGAGTATCGTATTCTCAGACGCGCTCAACGTCGAAAAGTGCTTGGAATACAGGAAGCTGGCGGAAGATTATGGTTTCAAACCCTCTTTTGGCGTGGGAACATTCTTCACGAATGACTACGACAGAAAGTCGGACCCGCACACCAAGTCAAAGCCACTCAATATTGTCATTAAACTCTCAAAGGCTGGTGGCAGACCGGCAATCAAGATCTCGGACAACATCGGAAAGAACACGGGGCATTCAGCAACTGTGCAAGAGGTCAAGCAAAGGCTTGGCTACACAGAACACGCCTGGAAAGAAGGTGATGAAACGAAAAGATGGTGACAGATCGGGTCGACCATCACCAATGGACTGTTGACTGTCGCAGCCTTGCACCCCCTAACACGTCGGTGGGGAATCGAGGGTCTTACACTTTTGTGGGGAGGGGCGGATGAGGCTGTCGTAGCTCGGGGATTATTGGCGCCGTCGAGTTGCTTGTTTCGAAAGTCGTGTCCAGCGTTCGAGGACGATTTCAGGCAGCTTGAATAAAGAACCTTGGTGCCTATGACAGGAGCCTCAAGTTCCCGGCGAGACCACGCGACTTGCGAGCTCCGCATGAGATCCGCATCTCGGACGTGCCCAAGAAATTCTCAATAATATATGTCTGTGAAGGGACGCTCCTTAACACTGGGGTTGGAACTGGGAGGTGTGACATTGGTTGACATGGGCAAAACACAAGCAACTGCTGAAACGATATCTAGTGTGACGATCGCACAAGCATGTCATCGCATGCCTGAAGCATATTCGGCATGACTGGTGAAGGAAGAAGGTGTTCGACGTGCTAAGTAAGATTGAAAGTGGATGATTGGGTGGAAGAGGCCATTCAAGCCTGTAGCGGGGCAGGGTTTGTCAGGAGTGGTTACAGGCTGCTGAGCGTTCCTATTAAATTATCTCAGCGCCGGCCATGTCGGAAAAGGGAAGGCAGAAAGGGGACAAGCGCTGACTTACATGAGCATCTGGTTCGATGCACGCGAGGATGCTATGCACGATGTCGAAAAAGTCTCTGGGCGGTGCTCGTCCAGAAGCTGCCTGCGGACGTAAACTGCCGCAGGTTGGGTGTGTGCTGTGTACGAGGAACCGAGTGTGCACAGCCATTATTGTGCGAGGCTGCCGCCAATCGTTGTTCAGGTGCTGCCCCAGGTCTCTGTTGGTCTCGCTGTGGCACGGAAGAGCTGCCCAGACGTTTTGCGTGAGCCTGGAAGGCCCCTAGATTTCTGCACAGGGTCCACCGCATCTCTCGCAAGTCGCGCCGCCGCCCGCTACGCTACTTCCCAACTCCGTCCCGGGCTGATCAGCTTTCACTGGGTCGCAATCGTTGATCACTCAGCCCGCCTTCACTTCTCTCTTAGCAACACCAAAGTCCTTTCTTCTTTCAGCACCGTTTCTCTTCAGCTGCTTAGGACCCATCCTGTTTTTCTATTCCTTTCCTTGCATTTCTTCCGACAGCTGCAATCGCGTACTCGATCGAAGTGCGCGTTGACATTGTCGATATCCAACCTGTTGAATTGGACCTTGTTGCACCTTGGAGGAATTGTCTCCTGTCCCTCGGTTTTCAACCAACATACTATAATATTCGTCTCAGCCTTCTGTCATCATGAGTGTAGGTCCTATCGGTTCCACAGGAAGCTTGCCTTGGTCGCTGATCATGCCTCCTACCTCCTGAAACGCGGTGTCATTGAGGACCGCAGCTATTCCGCCGCACCCGGGTCTTGAGCAGCTCGCTGACTTCCACCGCAGTACAATCAGGGCGCCCAGGGTAACCAGGGCTATGGCAACTACAATCCTTACGGAGAATCGGGCAACCCCTATGATCAACGCTACGAAGGTGGCGCTTATGGTAATCAAGGGGCTTACAGCGACCGACCTGAGCCTATACAACAGGGCGGCAATCACTATGCTCAAGATAACCAACGGCAAGGCGGATATGGTACATACACCCAATGCGTTGTAGATATGTGCGTACCGGCTAACCCGCTTCAGAAATGACCAACATGAACGGCGCCGACCCGAACCGCATCCTGAACGAATGTCGAGCTGTCGACCAAGCCATCGACGAGATCGAAGCAGATCTCCAGCGTCTCAAGGGCCTCCAATCACGGTATCTAGCCGACACAAACACCTCCGCTCAGTCGCCTCTACGCTTGGAGGTGGACAGAACCGGTGAAAATATCATGACGAAATACAGGGGCTTGGTCAGCCGGGTCAAGAACATCAAGCAGCAACCGGAATCCGGCAACCCTCGCAATGCCCCTCAAGTCGGCAAGGTCGACCGGAGGCTCAAGACGGCCATCAACCAGTATCAGCAAGTTGAGCGAGAATTCCGAAAGGCGTCTCAAGACCAGATGGCCAGACAATACCGAATCGTTCGCCCGGATGCGTCAGATGCTGAAGTCCGCGAAGCCGTCGAGGACCCTAACAACCAGCAAATCTTCTCTTCTGCATTGATCCAGAGCGACCGTCGTGGTGAAGCACAAACTGTCGCAAGGAACGTCTCTCAACGTCACGAAGATATCCAGAAGATTGAGCGGCAGATGATTGAGCTGGCCCAGCTGTTCCAGGACCTCGAAGCATTGGTGGTGCAACAAGAGCCTGCAGTCACGCAGATCGAACAACGAGGAGAGGAGGTCACGGAGCACGTCGCCAAAGCCAACACTGAGCTCGAAGGCGCAGTTGTCAAGGCGCGCGCTGCTCGTCGCAAGAAGTGGATGTGCTTGGGTATAGTTGGTGAGCATCGTGGGCTTCCTTCTGGCGGCATTCCAATACTAATACGCATCTAGTTCTTATCATCATTATTATTGTGGTGGTGGTCGTTGTGGTTGTCGAAGTTACGAAATAGAAATCCGGCGGCAACAGTGATCGTCAAATCGAACTACAAAACGCACCCTCTCTATCCCACCGAGCTGCGCTCCCATTGGATTCGGCGATTACATTTCAGTATCCGTGAGTCGGATCCTTATCGGACATACTGTCTGATAGCGAGAGCCAAAAGTGGAGCGAAGCAGGCCACACTCTGCACACTCCTCTTTTCTGGACTAGGGCGTTACAGCGGCTCCCACATCAGGGTTTCCCAAATTCGCGGGAGATCGGTCCGGCTGAGACAGGCGGCAAGGGAAGGGGAAGTCTCATTTGTCGAGAAAAGCCGGCGCATAGCGTTTCCTTTTGTTCTGATCCTGTCTGTTCACTCTTGGACAGATGTGGCTGGGATGGCTGATGGATTGGTTGCGTGACTCCATGTACAGCATCAAGGCCTACTTTAGATACACGCACTTATACGCGAATAATCCTTTGCAATATTGCACCATTTTGAGGTTAATCTCTTACAGCGCACGTAGGATTTTGCCGAGCATGGACAAAATGTGACGGTTTATCAACAAGGTAGAAGGACGAGCAAGCCAGTCTGGACCGAAAGAACAGAATACAGAATACACCAACGTGCGGAGCCACGCTGAAGAGACTGACCACGATTGGAGACGGATTGTGTGAAAGATATGTCATGTTGGCAGATAATTCGCAGGCCAAAGATGGATTTCAGCAGGAAATACAGAGTAGTAATGTATTCTACAGCTTTGGCGTATTTCCCCTTTGTCGTCTCATCTCGGCATAGAAGAGAGCATCTGATGACCTGAGCGACGTCCATCCTGTCCTGCCTGTGTAGAGCGCACGAATGCCTCTCCAACCTACTGTAGAGATAATAGAGTGTGGGACCTCTGCACCGATACAAGGGCGAATGTCGCAGTGGGAGCCAGCCTGCTCATTCCTGTTCCTGTTTCCATGCGGTTTGAATTGAATCCCTCCTCTCCTTGCCCTTCCTTTGGATTCGGCTGACCCGATTGACTGACTGACCTAACTCAGCCAGTGAGAGTGAGAAAGTGGGTTTGAGTGAGTGAGTGAGCGAGTGAGTACCATAAAGCACAGCACAGACACACAGCTGGACCATGAGCTCTCCAATTACGGCAATCTAGTATGGCTCAGCCTCGCACTGATTCACTCACTCACTCACTCACTCACTATCGGCGCGCGATCCAAGCCGGTCGGTCATGGACGAGCCCGTCTAAGGATTCCGCGCCTTCTCGCGCTCGACCTCCTCAGGCGTCTTGGTGCGTAGTTGCAGTGCGTGGATGCCACCCTCGCGGTCGAGTTCGTCCTTCAACAGCGCGTAGACCATACGGTGGCGGGCGGGTTGTGCTTTGGAGGCGAACGACGGGGATGTGATGTCCAGGCTGGTTTGCCGTATTAGTCAGATTTAAATTTTTCGAATGAGGAGAACGCCAGGGACATCGATGATTAAGAACGAATGGGGCAGGTCGAGCAACGCTATACATCCACGCGTGGTGTCACTGGGGGGTGGAAGGACACACGCCAGGTTCTCGCTTGACTGGTTGCTTTTTGGCGGAGGATCCATCCCATGCCATTACATCGGTCGGTCCATCCATCCATCTAATATCCACGTGTCGGTTGTGCGAGGGTGGCTGGCGCGAGCTGGGCTGAAAGTGAAATCGAACTGGAAAACACAAGCCACTCACTAGAAATGCGTCTCCTTCGACGTCGATCCCACCATGGCTTTGTGGTGAGAGTGCAGGTGTGAGTCGTTTCGGATCGTGAGCTGCGTCGGGTTGAGCGCGTCGGTGACCTGGACGAGGGATGTGATCAGTATAGCATTCTCTCACTCTCTCCTCTCATTCTTCCTTTCCTGGAGCCAATCGCTTATCCGTGAATAACACCACGTGAAGAAGCCTTGCTCCAGATGAGAATTCCATCCCAGACGGCACGCATCCTGACTCTTGACAAATACACTTTCGTGTCTTGACCGTCTCGTTGGGTCTCTCGAGTGTTGGTCCTCAAATCAACTATAGCTGCTGCTCCTTTGAAAGAAAGAGGCAGACTTCCGCGTTCGTGTCCCAAACAGAGGGGACGCTCCGATGGGGAATAAGACGTACCTTCTTCCGGATCGTGTCCTCTACGGGCGTGCTTGATGTGCTCGCCATCCTGGTTGTTGGGCTGAATGTGCGACGGATTGCGACTCCAGCAGTCACATACCGCCTCATTTGGATGGTGCGGAGCAGGTACTGGCGACGTAGGGTGTAGGGTATAGCAAGTAAGATATGTGTTTACTGTTGACAGAGGACGAAGTTGTGTGGTTCGGCCGGATCCCGGGACGGTTGATTTTCGGTAGAATATTCGGGCTGAACAGACAGCAACGAAGGAGCACGAGAAGTAAAGATGAAGTTAAGTACTGGTACAAAGCGAAAATGTTCGGGTTTGGTGAAATCTGAGCGTCGAGCGCAATGTAAACTATGCCATCTTCTCCCGTACGAGATGATGGGCTACCTGAGCAGGAGAGACAACCCTCCTCTCGGACAGAATACTGAGGCCAGACGTGGACGAACCTCTGGTTGCGCGACGCCGAGAAGCTATGAGAACCCCCCAATTACCAGCTGCAAGATTGTTTCCATACCGCCGCTGCGTCTTGTGTGCCTGCATGATCTCCTTACACTCTTCCTTGCTCGGGATCTGTGGCCTGCGAAGAGTCATAGGACGCTGGAGGCTCTTCTTGCGTACGACTAAGCAGGATCAATCCCCTGAGAGGTCCCCTGGAACAGAAAGGTATCCGGCGACCTTCATTGTCCAATGCGAATTGTGTCCCTGTGAAGCCTAGCTTCTTGAATCCATGTGACCTTAACATATCGGCCATGTCATGGATCTCTGCGTTGAGCCGTGTGAGGGGGTAGTACGAGCCTGGACTCCGGTCGGCCTGGCTTTCGAGTCTACCCAAATGTTCATCATACACCTTGCAAAATTTGGGCCAGAACGACTCTTCTACTGTCTCGAGTTCGTGTTTGGCCAAAGTAGATTCAGCCAACAATCCGAAACGGTCTCGGAAGTTCGAAAGGCGCGCGAGCATCTTTCCAGCGGCATCCGGGAAAAATAAATCATCCATCTCTGTGCGAGTCGTCAGCCATGGAGTACAGTAAACAGACGTTGTTACTTACCGTCCACGCAGAAATGCAACATTGTCCTTACCCTCTTTGCCGCCTGATACCGAAAGGACCACTTCAAGCTGTCGATCCGGCTTTGCCCATCCTCGATCTTGGTCTTCACCTCCGGCGCACATGCCTGCTCTTCCAGCAGAACACACAACCGCACTTGTCGGTCTGAGTGAAAGAATTGTGGAGCAAGTGTCGATACTATGCTCTCTCGGTCCCGTCTACCACTACGCCTAGTGGCAATCATTTCCTGGAGCGGATCTGGATCATCCGACGACAGCCGATAGAGCATGCCGTGGAGGTCCGCTATGGCCAAATCTTGACGCAAAGGCGCTACATCCCCCCGTGTTGTGAATTCTTCGAGTTTTCCTTCTCTGCAGGCATCTGGGATCGTCAAACTTAAGCGGCGTAGCAGGTATGCGCCGTTCACGGCGGAGAAGATATCTCCCGCACGCAAACCCGCGAATGGATAAGAGGGATTCAAGCCAATTTGGAGGATAGTCTCCGTACAGATCGTTATGTCCAGGCTCCTCACGACCACTGCACGCTCGAACAGATCGGCACCATGGTGCAAAAAGCATTTAACTGTCGCGATACCTTGCGCTTGCATGGCTTGGTCAATTGACTCGGTAGGCTTCTCTCGTGCTTGCTTCATGAAGCGTATCACAAACCGATGCCATAGACTGTTCTTGCGGCCGGACTTGGAACTTAATTTATCGGTCGCGTTTGGATTTGCACCAGCGCCAAGCAAGACTCGTACTGATCGAAGGTCTGCTTGCATATACTCCTCCTTGCGACACAACTCATAGAGAAGGTATGTTGCAAACTCCTTATCTCCAGGGCCGTCTTGTAGTATTCTTGTAGTAAGGGCGCTTGACGAGATATTCGACATCACAGCCCCCCATAGATCCAGCGGATCGGATGGGTAGGCTATCGCCAGGAACCAATTGCGCCGACTGGCCGGATCAATGGATTTATGCCATCTGGGTATCAATTTCTGGCGGTATGTAGTGTCGATTAGCTGTAACAGCTTGTACTGGAACTCCGCAACTTGTTCGTCTGCACCACTTTTGTCCAAATCCCCTATCAAACTGACCATTTGATGCCAGCCCACTCTCTCGAACCAGCGCCAGTGTTTAGTTTCTTGAAAATGCGCAGGATGATAAATGCCAGAGAGTCGCGTTGCCAAACGGGCCTTCAACAGTCTCTGAGCCATATCTTGTCCGGACAAGGAGTGCTGTTTCATGAGCTCTTGCCCTGCAGGTTTATCGAGCAGAAAGTCTCTTGCAGTACGATGAAAGAACCGCACCGTTCCTAGGTTTTTGAGAGCCCTCGACAATCGGACAGTCTGATCCATATCGTTGGAGTCTGTCTCGAATTTTGCTGTCAAGAGGTTAAAGTCTGCTTCGCATTCCCTATACAGCCAACGCGGGATTCTTGTTGTGGCCTCCTTCTGAGGCCCTATTTCGAGAAGCCCTGCACACCGAGTCTGCAACAAGGAATGCATCTGGACGCATGCCTTGTGGAGCTTATTGGTAACAATATCAGCCTGCGTCATATCGGATGCCATGCCGCACAGATCTTCATCCGTAGCGAGTACGAAATCGACCAATGACAGGGGGAAGTGGGCGTGAAAGCTGAAAAAGAGTGCGGCTTGTCTACGATAGGTCGGCAAGTGTTCGTCTCCATTGAGTGATCGCCACATATGCTCGTACAGGGCCTCCATCTTCGCGGGCAGGACTTCTAGCCGTTCCAACAGAACACCGTAGCTGTCTGAGTGTAGTGAGCCTTGTTGGAGGTTCTTTGTGACGAGATATACCCACAAAAATACTCCGTCGGCCTTGTGCACTATTTTCTCAACAAAGTCGTTGATTTCTATGGAGCTCCAATGTGGAAATGCTGGCCGCAACCTATCGGTGATGTAATGTTTCATATCATGAGAGGTCATGTCTTGTAGTCGTAGCTGTGGAAGGTGGCCCAGCTCGAGCTCCAATTGTCGTTCTGGTCGACTTGAGAAGCAGATTTTGACCCTAGATGTTTTGGTAAGGGAGTGCAGCAGATCGAATAATGCCTTGATGTCCTCGTCTCTGTCAAACTCGTCAAGTCCGTCAATGAACACGGCGATGTGCCCATTAAACGTTGAGAACATCTTGGGGGCCAGGTTGATTAGGTCCGCTTCGGACCAATCTGCTGCAGTATCTCGGCGACCGAGAAGAGGTTCTTTTCTCAGGATTTCGGTTGCAATCTCAGGGTGGATAGAAACGAGCTGATACAGTAGTGCACAGAGAGCGCCCTTCAGACTCCGCTGGGCCTGACTCCCTGAGTTCCAGAAGTACCAACTCAGGACGATCGCTGTCCGCGGTCTCGCCCACTTGTCTAACAGTTTTTGAGTCTTTTCATGCTTGGACATGAAATGCATCAACGTGGATTTCCCGCTCCCAGCTTTGCCGTGAATCCAATACATCGGGGACGATGACAAGAGCCAGTCAGTGAAGCTGTCCCAGGATCTCCTGATGCCTGTTGTCGCCGGGTATTGTGTCTCCAGGTTTTCCGCAAAGATCCATTCATACGTGCGGGGGTGAGCGTCCGATATTTGGTGCCGCCGCTCATTCAGTTCTGGAATCTTGAAACTGTTGATGAACCGCAACCTTGTCTTCTCGTCCAAAGCCACCTTTCGCATGGACTCTAGCCTATTTTGAAGTTGAGACCTCGTTTTCTGGTGTGCGAGGTCGATGCGGCGACCGACCTGTCCAACGGTCGATCGATGAGCGTTGCGAAGTTCCACTCGATTCGAGGTAGATTCAATCGTAATGTGTTGCCTGGTCCTTTGCGCCTCGGCCTTGGATACTGCCCGACCTTTTGCGACTTCGTGACTTGTGTGGTGTCGACCTGTCTCCGCCTCAGCGGCCACCTTGGCGCGGATTGATTGAGTTTCATCAGTTATTGCAAGACGAGTCTTAACGCTCTCATGTTTTACCTCGGCACTGATGGTATTCAGGTGGGAGAGTCCTTGGGTGAGCTGTCGCGCCACGTCGACAAAACGGTCATTTGTGTTCGTCGCGTTCTTCTCTGAATTAATACTGGAACACTTAATCAGTAGACATTCCAGCAAGCCGTTACAGTCACCACAGCTACCAACGTTCACGAGACAATGACCGCGCCAGATGAGCCGACCGGACTAGATATCATGGCTTCCAGACCCTGTTTGCTTCGAGGTGCTGCACCACATTCCAAGATCGGATGATCGTAGACCGACAGAGGTTGAATGAACTACCGAGCAGACTTACGTCGAGCGTACGGTCAAGGCAAATCCGACAGCCTCGCGGAGCTCTTTCCACCTCCGCTCAAGGTCGTAGATTTTGCCCTTCTGCAGCACAGTCTTTACCACCTTTTCGAAGCGCTTGCTCCTGGAGTCTGTGGTCTGTAACTTTAGAGCGTCGAGCTTCTTCTGTAAATCAGACGCCAGCTTTCGAGCTCTCTGCGATATGTCAAGCAGCTCTTTGTCGTCCGCCTGGCACGTCTGGCTCACACCGTGTGCGTTCGAAAGTTGCTGTGTCAAAGCTTGGACGCTCTTGTCGAGAAGATTCGTGGTTGAAACCAATTCATCGTGGTTTGGGAAAGCGCCGGCCTTGTGCACTTCTACAAGAAAGAAGCAGGTCTTTCCAGCAGCTGTTACCACGTCGAGGATATTGCAGGAGAGAGCAAGGGCCGACAAGGGTTCCATCTCGCACCAAAGGTCAAGCAAGCACCGGATGGCAGCTGCAGTCTTGAGATGAGGAAGGTCGTCGTGGTGAGGCTGAATTGATATTGGGCTTCCAAGCGTCAGGCGCCATTCCATCCGCCAATAAAGTGCTAGATGATCCCTGTCGGCAGGCAACCAAGGAGCAAGTGCCGCGGTCGCTGAGCTGGCGCCAGGACACCGATTCCAGCATCTCTAGACGCATGACATCTGTTATTACTAACCCTTGCAAGAGTTCAATCGAGGCGAGAGTCCACAGGCCCCAGTCCATGGTGAAAGACTTCGATAGATGATGGGATCCAATCGAGACTCGACGACGCAGGTTGACTATAGGGAGACGCATTAAACCATAGCTGCAAAGGACACGGTGAATCAAATGACGTGGAACCGTAGAAGCAAAGACGACTCCATGAGTCTTGTGCTGTGCGTGCCGGAGCGCGTTGTCAGAACCGGTGAATTGGCACGAGTCGATGTTCCCTACCCATCGTTGGATAGTCTTTCAGCTGTAGCACCCTTCCTCGAAAACTGTGGAAGTATTAACTCCGGCTTTCATGTGCTGTGCTGCACACACCATGAGGCGACATTCGACGAAGGACGCACCCTGCGCTCGTGAAGATAGATGCCGGATGAATGGGACGAACTTCTCTTAGGACCAGCTACCAGCACCAGAATCTCTTGTCTTCGCTGAAACCCAATCCACGAAGGATACTGATTGGCACCGGTTCGAACATCCACATGCCACCGCTGCTCAAGTCCTCCAACAACAGGCCACCAGATGCCCCAAACCACAAGATCGTGAAGACGAGATTCGCAGCCTGACGCACTGCTGATCTCGGGCTTCCCAACACGCGCTCCAGCAATGACCCACTGAAAAGTTGAGAGCAGAGACTCTGAGCCGCCAAACCCGCCGGCTGAAGTGCGAAGAACAGGAAAGACCTCCAAGGGCTTGTGGGCCCTAGAAGTGTATAGCTTGCGCATGCATGCAATATTCCACTGAGCAAGAAGACAACTACAATCCGGATCCAGCGTTTCGCTGATGACGGTTTCGATGACTTGGGGCCTTTGTGCCGCAGTAGGTAATCCGCAAAGGCGTCACCAATGCTTGCGAAGTGCATCCTGAACATCTGATGCCATGTTTCTCCCCAGAAGCCCCTCAGTCCCTTCCGCAGTACAGCGCGCGGGCTACCCCAGATTGGCGGAAATAAGACAGGGGACGCGTTCAAACCCAGCACGCTCGACCCAAGAACATTTACTTGAATTAAGACTGTGGCGGTATATTGAATGTCGATAGCGAGGTATGCGCCCGTCATTCCGAGCAACAAGCGGTAGGAGGAGAGGGTGAGCGGAGATATGCCAAACACGGGCAGACGAGGTGAGACCTCTTGCCTGGTGGAGCCGAGAAAGTATGGGTCTGCGATCATGAGACATTTGACCAAGTCAATAAAAAAGTAGTCAATGAGGAACCGCGACAAGCTACGGAAGAATGTAGCACTTCGGTCTGACCGTGCGACCCTGAGTGACTGAGGGTATGTTGGTGAGGGCGAAGGATTCCAGGACCAGTGAGCGCCGCGCATGCTGGTGACGAGGTCAAAAATCCAGAAGAGCCTTCTTGACAGCGATCTCGGCATTGACTCCCAAGCGAGAGGAACCACCGAGTCTAATTTGTCGTGTGTTCCGGTCCATTTCAGGTCGGCAGGCCCAGCTGTCTTTGTGGCTTGGACGGTCGGGCGCAGAACCAGTCTTTTGAACTTCCTAGGATCATATAAGAGCACGAAGTTGACAGCGAGTACCGTAAAGAGCGCAGAGTTCAGACCGACGCCGATGCTGCCCACCACGCCAATCGAGCGGACGTGGTAGAGGTTCCAAATTGAGCTGCTGAGAATGCCTGCGAAGACCGGCAGACGACTCCATTGGTAGATCGAGTCTGATATCGAAGGACATGCCAGTAGCCACCCAAGAAGCAGGATCAGGTTCATAGAGTCGATGCCTGAATTTGCAGGTATCACGCCGCCGGTTTGATGGAGCGCCATATACTGCGCGCGTACCTTGTGCTCGGCTTGGGCGTACGACATGTTGGCGACAGGCGATCCACGTGTATCTGTATCGCCGTCACGTTGATCCCTTCTTGAGCTTCAATAGACGAAAGAGTGTGTTCCATGTTGCAAGTACGAAGCTCGACAATGCACGCAAAGACCTGCGATCTTCTAGCCGATACGTATCTAACGGGGGCCTGAACGTCCTCACTCACCCGTCACTATCTAACTTCCTGGGCTTACCTAGGCCAAGCTTTCCCGCTGCTTTTGCCATTCCCGCCGCGTCACCAAGTCAACCATAATTACTGTGTACAGCACATCGTGGAGGACCACATTGAGTTTCATCCACCTGAGGTAGGTAGAAGCCCGCAATCAGACATCATTTCTTTGCAGTCTTCCGAGCCTTCTCTGAAGGCTCGGTTTCTTCACTCTGTGATACTGCCCCCAGCACTTTGGCCAAGATGACTTCTCGCCTCACCTCGCGCATGGCGAAGCTGAACCCGTTTGCCTCGAAGCCATCGCGCAAGATTGATGATGAAGACGCTGGTGACGTGATTGACGCCTCAACCGTCGCTGGTGGCGGGCACGCTGCCCTTGAGACCGAGGTCACTAAGCACCAACTGCGAGTCAGCCCCGCGCTCAGAGAGTTCCTCGTGAGCAAGGACGTTCTATCTGAGAAGGACGCCGGTCTGGAGAATCCCTCCAAATTGACCGAACCGCTACACGATCTTGTCAACAGGGACCACATCAACGTGCCAGCATACGTTACCGACAGGTCACATCCGCTGCCCGAGTACTTTATCAGTTCGAGCCATAACACGTACCTGCTCGCTCATCAACTGTACGGCACGTCGTCGGCTGATGCATACAAGACAGCACTCAGGACCGGATCGCGCTGCGTTGAAATTGACGCCTGGGATGATGAAGACAACAAGGACGAACCGAAGGTCACTCACGGCTACACCCTCGTCTCTAACATCCCGTTCCGCGCAGTATGTGAGACGATCCGTGACGTTGTTGACGAGGAAGCCGCGCAGTCTGTGTCTCAGCCAGGACACCGAACAGCCCCGGTTCTGCTGTCACTAGAGAACCACTGCGACGCGCATGGCCAACAACGCCTCGTCGAGATCATGAAAGAGGTGTGGGGTGACCGCCTGTTGAGCAAAGCAGTCCGCCAGAAAGGCCACGACGAGCAACAAGGCACAGGCGAACAGGTCACGCTCGAAGAACTTGGCTCCAAGATCGTCGTGATCGTTGAATACCACTTCCCGAGCGAAGCCAACGACGAGGACGAGGACGACAGCGACTCCTCCTCCGACGAGGACGAAGAGACAGCACAGGCCCGAAAGGCGTACAACGAGAAGAAGAAAGCAGCACCCACGGTCATTGTCCCCGAGCTCGCCGAGCTGGGCGTCTACGCTCAGTCGGTCAAGCCTCGCGACAACTCCTGGTTCGACGACGACGGCCTGAGAGACGCACCGCACCACCACCTCATCAACATGTCCGAGACGGGACTTCTGACGCACCTACCGGCCGAGTCTCACAAGATCGCCCGCCACAACGCCGTTCACCTGATGCGCGTGTACCCCAAGGGCACGCGCATCTCATCGCGCAACCTGAAACCAGTCGCATTCTGGGGCATCGGCGCGCAAATCTGTGCCCTGAATTGGCAGACCTTCGGGGCAAGCATCCAGCTCAACGAGGCCCTCTTCAGCGGCTCGGACGGCTATGTTCTGAAACCCGCCGCGTTGAGGGCCGGCGGAAATGGCGTGCTCAACACCGGCCGTCGGAAAAGATTGCGCCTGCATGTAGGAGGAGCGTGCGACATCCCCGTGCCCGAAGGCCGCGAAGCGGACGACATCAAACCCTACCTCACGTGCACGCTATACCACCCCGACTTCCTGACCGACGACGACATCCCCAAGCGCAAGACCGGCCACTACAAACAGCACAAACTCGGGTTGGTGCACAAGTGGGCGAATTCCCCGTCTACGGATCCCATCTGGGACGAAGTTCTCGAATGGGAGTACGACGACAACGAGATGGTATTTCTCCGACTGTTGATCAAGAGCGATGATGCATTTGCGAGGAATCCCATCCTGGTGGTCTCGGCGGTGAGATTATCCTACGCAGTGGAGGGATGGAGTTTTATCCGCATGCTGGACTTGAAAGGACGGGAGACGCGGTGTTCGTTGTGCGTAAGATTTGAGGTGCTGGACGTGGTAGATTGATGGGGCCGATGATGCGATCACGATGAGATGCTGGTTACGAATGGATGATGATCGATTTTCTTCAGAACAAAAGCGACGCTCTAGGCTGATGGCACGTCGCCTCGGAAAATGCGCAGGCCGAGTCCATTGCAGTGGAAGCCCCTATGTCCAGTCCGTCGTGCTTCTTCGTCCACAAATGCAGACTGTACGGCGATTGAGAATCCAGACCGTCTTGACTCTTGAACAAATCCCACCTCTGCATAACTTTTACGTTACGTGAATACTGATAGTTACAATCCAGGTCCGGTGCTATCACACACCGCCAGCAGTGAAAATGTCAGTCCCATCAATCCCAAACTAAAGGGACAGTGATGGCCTCTTTCGTACCGCGCGGAACATCATGAGGACTCCTGCCGATTCGAGCTCTGTCCTTTCTAGCCAAAAACATCCTTCACCAACACCTTCTTGTTGATCTTTCCCATCGCATTCCTGGGTATACTCTGCACGACCCTGACCTCGACGGGCATCTTATGCATAGCCAGCCTGTCCTTCAGCGCCCTCCTCAAATCCATAATCCCCCATTCTTTTCCTCCCCCTTTCCCCAAATTCCCCTTCTGGCTCAATACGACCACCGCCGCGACCTTTTGCCCCCACTTGTCATCGGGCAATCCCACCACGGCTGCCTCTGATATTTCTGGCAGGGAGAGCAACTCGCGCTCGATTTCAAGGGCAGAGACTTTCTCTCCGCCCACTTTTATTATGTCAACGGAGAGGCGACCGAGGATGAAGTACATGGGTCCTTTTGCCCAGGTCTGGTCGCTCTGGCCTGCGCCCGGGACAGATTGACGGATCGCGATGTCTCCAGTTCTGAACCATTTCGCTCTATTCGCGTCGTTGTCATCGGGATCGACAAATTCTTTGACCGTGGCGGTCGGGTTACGGAAGTACTCTTTGAAAATGGTGGGACCACGGAGTTGGATTTCTCCTTCCCATGGTTTTCCAGTGTCGTTGCGGAATTGCTCGCGCGGTGGAATGACAGTGTTGGTCTCCGTGTCCACCAGCCGGAGGTCCACACTTGGGAGAGGCCAGCCGACGCTGCCGTCAACGCGATCTTCGAATGTGAGGCCGCAGGAGAGGGCCATGCCGACTTCGGTCATCCCGTAGCGCTCTAGCAGGACGTTCCCACCTGACAGGCTTGTCCATGCTTGTTTGATCGGAGTTGGCAGAGCGGCAGAGCCTGAGATGTTGAGCCGGAGGTTCGGCGGAGATATTGCTGTGCGTGTGGCGGATTGGAGTTCTGGTGACAAGGACGAGTGGGTAGCCAGGAGGCGGTTGTAGATTGTTGGGACCGCTGTGAGGAATGTTACGGGGCGTTTCCGTGTGTCCGAGGGTGGCGATGAAGGGAGGAACGGCATTGCGAGACGTTTCCACACGGTATCGGGGTTGAAAGGGTATGCAATCTCGATTGCACAGCCCGCCATAAGTGGGACGAAGAGTGCATTGATTGTGCCATGGATGTGATGGAGAGGGAGAACGTGCAGGAGGAGGTCGGAGGGGGAGTATTTCCAAGCTTTGATCAGTGACCGTGCTTGGGCCGTCATATTGGACATGGACAGGACCACGCCTTTGGGCCGGTTGGTGGTTCCGGAGGTGTAGAGCATGAGTCCGCCATTTTCAAGTGTTTCCGAGTTGAATCTGACGTCCTCTTGCACTTCGGCTCCCTTGTTGGCCTTGGACAGGATCTTTAGCTTCGGCGTGTGGCCGCCTTCTCTGACAACTTCCCTTGCTTTCTCCCGGAACTTCTCTGTAGACAGGAACAGTAACGCTTCACTGTTCTCGAGGATATACCGCAGCTCCAAGATGGGATGTGAGTGTGCCAAAGGCACGGCAACCGCGTCGTGAGACAGGATTGAGAGGAACGTCACTTTGGAACACTGTCAACAACTGTATCGGTATTCGATATTGCACTTCCCGCGCACCTACATAGTCGTAGCTATTTTCCGCAAGAAATGCTATCCTTTCCCCAGAAAGAGGTCTCCCCTCCGCAACTGCGGACAGCTCATCCCTTCCTGCCACAACGTCACGTAGCAAGCTGCCATAACTGAATTTGCGTTCAGACGCTCCGTGGATAATTGCGGAGGAGGTCGGGTCGTGGTTCGCGATTGCCTCAAAAATGGGCGACGGAGGCAGGGTTGATGACCATCTGATTTGAAGGCGACGGGGACTCCGGCGTGAAAACGAGGCTCCAAATTCCCTGCAACCGTTTGTTACTGCCGCTAAGCTGCTCACAGCTTTGTATGGGGAGCTTCGAATGGAAGGATTTTTGACAATGCAATGAACTGTGCCGAAAGCTGCCATCTTCTCACATTTTAGCGGGTATGCCGACGTCGAGAGCTTCGGTTTGACTAAACCCTGACTAGATAGCCGTGAACGACGTCGAAATATAACCCATGAAGCCAGATGTACGGAGTATGCAGAATCCTGAAAGCGACATCGCGCCCCCAAGGAAAGGTGCGAAGCGCGTCGGCCGGGGGTCCGCCTGACTCATGAGATTCTTGACTTCCTTCTTTAATGACTCGTATCAATATCCCCACCCGACCGGCATGGATCACCGTTGCACCTTCAAAGTGTATCATACTCGTACACTTATCAAGTGCACACTGAACAGTTAGGCTAAGCCAAGGGTGCGTGCTGTGGGTGAACCCCAGGTGAGCACTCGTACTCCCTGGTCCACCAATGATAGAAAGCGCACTGGCTTCGTCCGTGTAGGGAACAATTCCAGAAGACGACAGGAAGATCCACTACGGTGTGAGCGCAGTAATGATGGTTCACAAGATTTGGATATTTGTCGAACAACTCGCTTTCTGGTGGTGAACTCTATGATGTATCTGGGTATCTTGGGAAATGCTTCGCAAGCCCTGAAACCCGGGCCGACCACAACAAGCCCAAAGTATTCACATGATCTGTAGCAGGCAAAGACAAAGACCCGCCTTCCTGGTATGCGCCATGCTCCGTCAAAACATTTCGCCAGGAACCCCAGTCGTCGGAGTCTATCCTGATCGTGATCGTCCAGCAATATTCGCGACCTGGATGCGTAGTCATGATGCACGTCAATCCATTTCGTCTAGACTCCCAATGTTGTCGGTTGCCTCCTGCTCCTCGCTAACCAGTATCCCCACAAGACACTCGCTCAGCATGCCATCCCAGTTGACCCAGGGATGCACTTCCATGAACAGCTTGACGGAATCTTTCCCAGCCCCTCGCAGGATCTCCCCAGCACCCCCAGGATGAAAGGGGACGTAAGGAGTTATGTTGTACACTTTTCCCTGGTAGACCGTCCACGCATCTCTTCCTTTCCTGCCATTTTGCATTTTCAACTGGGCAGGTGTTATCCGAAGTAGGTTCTCTCCTGGCGCATCTTTGCCTCGGAGATGATTGTTGGGATTGTTTGTCAAAGCAGCCCAGTCGAGGGGGGAATGGCCGGGCTCGAGGACCACCTTGCGAGAGACTTGCTTCCCCGGTGGCATGATGGAAGACGTAGGCGCAAGTGAGGCGTTTGGGAGAGGCTTGGTCACCGGGACACGCAGAGACGCGGCGCCCGACGGGGGAGGTCGAACGGAGCCTTGTCCAGGGCGTGGTGCTGCAAGAGCATTGCCGGAACTGAGAGGCTTGAGACGAGGAGGGCTCGACGATCTGTTTGGCTTCGGTAGTGGGGGAGGCGGCATAGATATCTTGGGCGTCTCTGCTGTCCTTGGTTCAGACTTTCCAGCCGCTGGCTTCAAAGACGCGTCATCCGGATGGGTTACCTCCATTAGAGGGATCGAGGCTTTCAGGAGAGAGTCGCGGTTGAGGTTCTCTTGGGGAGTCGGCTTTGATGCAGAATCAACATATGCTGGTATTCTGACCGGCCGCTCGCTCGCCTGTCTATGTTGCGCTGTCACTTCTGGTCCGTCGCCACTATGCACAAGGTTCTGAACAAGAAATCTGTAAAGAATGAAACCTGCTATGGCGGTGCAGCAACCGGCAGCAACCCAGCCCATTCTAAGGACAATGTAGGAAAATCGTTGCGTGAGTGAAACCGAAGCCGCTCATTGCGCCGGCGGTATAGCATCGATACTCGCGACGTTATATCATTGTCACTAAAGTAGAGGTGGTAATCTCACGCGGTACCATCTCTTCTGTCGTAAATGATAACCAGACCAGAAAATCAGAGACAGCGAGGGGAGTTGCTCGCCTCCCGTAGTTTCAAATGACGTACTATTTTGGGATGACAGCATTGTTTGAGTGTCTGCCAGTCCTTCAATTTGCGTCTTCCTTCAATATCACACACGACCCGTCTTGTGGAAGATACCTCGACGTCTGTACCGACAACCGGGACCCGGAGATGAGGAACTTTGCTCATGAGGCATGAAAGAACAGAGAGCTTCTAGGTTCTCGTTCTACCTTGTCTGTGCTTATTTAACTGCCTTTGGCAAATCTGTCTAGGCCATTGCCCACAGGGTCCAGACTGAGTCGCCATGCAGATCCGAGTGGAAGAGTCAAATAATTCCTGGTCCTCATTTCGCGGTTGCAACACCTCACACATGTCCATGGCCCCTTCTTGACGCAGACGATCTCGCCCACTACAACTGACCGCTAGCAGATCTGGGATGGCCTGCACCGCCATCACTATCATTCGTTTGTCCTAGATCAGAATAGCTCCAGTTTTCTATTTCCTCCGGCCACCGTAGGAGGGTCCATTATGTTGCATGTCGCAAGTACACGAGCCGCTCATGTCGCTTCGAAGGTGCGTCTGCCTACTAGGCAGTTGCTGACTTTTGGTCCACCCATATTCCGCCTTACTTCTCGAAACTACGGAAAGTGTATTTCGGAATCAGTGACACATCTGTGTCTGCTCAGCGTTTCCTGGTTGTGTGCTGTTCGATGTGAGCGTGAACGGTGATGCGGCTCCAGAAGCCTGGATAGGCACATTCCTCCGTAGCCTGGACACAAGGCAACAGTGCGGTGCGCACAAGTAAAGGCAACTGATACTGTGGCTTAAACAGCACCTGCCCATGGACAGATAAATAGCTGGCTATGGCTTCCACCGAAACAGCCCTTAGGAGTCTACCTCCGCTCATCAAGCACTGAGGCAGACATATGACCTTTCCCACGGCTGTGCAGAGCGCGATCCACTCGCAGCTGACTGACTCGTCACTCACCGTGCCCTTTCCGGTGGGCAACCTATTTTGCTTTTGTTGTTAATGTCCACATAGCCTCATAATCCTAGCATCCTTGAACTGGCCCGAGCAGATCATCACGGGCGCGGCAGCTGACACCGGGTTTCAATGGTCTCAGACCCCGTCACCCGAGCATTTCCGGTAAATGTGCCCGGAAAGCGTGGCCTAAAACAGCGACGGTCGGAGTGAACGAGTCGATGCTGCCCTTGTAACCTTGTCGAGTGGTGGCCAGGTTTGAGCTGACACGCACGACGAAACCAGCAGAAAGTCCTGAAGCAGGGAGCCGAATTACGGCCTCATCAAAAGGCTGTCGTGTTCCAACCCCTCTTTCTCGCCATCACACTCTCGCCTCGACCACCAGTGCCCGATCGTTCGGCCAATCAATGACGGCATCGTGTGGTTACCGCTGCCACGTTTGACCTGCATTGCAACTGTCTTGTCCGCGCCACTGTCACTCCCTGACAAGTTAAGCAAACGCTCGGGCTGCTCGGGCGGCGACCTCGCCTGACTTCAACCTGACTTCCAAGCAATAATTCTCCACCTCCAAGCCGACCGAAGTCTGTCACCCGTTGCTGTTACAGGAACCTCAGCCATTCCGATACCCGATCTGGTGCGGCGGGGTCACTCGTTACTGGCGAACCAGGCACTTTGCCTGTCAACCTCGCATGACCAGCCAGATTCTGTCTCAACCTTACTTTCACCACGGTTCTTCTCCTGCTCTCTGCGTCGACGTCCCTCAAGTCTGCCTGATACTCATCCTTGCACTACTCGACTAGGGTTCGGGTGAGTATGTGCACGGCTGAGGCTACGACAGTTGCTACCACCTTTCCTCGAGCAGGCAGTCGAGGTATACGTCCACGACAACCTCAAGTCTTCTAGCACGGCTATTAAAAATAAGATCGATACCGCTGAGGAACAATTTACCGAGAACATAACAAGGCCGTGTGAGAGGCAGTGAGATCAACGCGTGAAGATCTCAGGGCGACCGAGCAAGGCCAACCCGCGAACCCCGTGGATTACATCGGACAACCCGGATTCTGCTTCAGCCTACTTGCCACGACCAGATTCGACTGGCAATACCTCTTGACCCCACCACAACTGAGCTAAGCCATAGGTTTCCACTGTCTGTGCTTGGTCTGTCAACTCCATCAGGTATCGTCACCGGTGAAAATCCCTGGAGTGGCAGACTAGTGCTCGGATCTTAACTGCACAGACCGTGGTCAACCAGCCTGAGACACGGGCAATCAGTCTTTACGGAACAGACATCAACCTCCTATTTGCAGACACTGAGCAGTTCCGAGTCTATCCCGGCGCGGTTCTGCACAGATCAGGCGCAGTTCAGCCGTCACTGGGCGCAGAGTTTAGGTAAATGGAGTACTACCAACCGATGTCGTCCTCCTCGCCTGTGTACGAGGACTACAACCCCCTCGGCTCTCAAGATCGACCTGAGAGAGAAAATTCCTCTGAGGACCACGCCCGCAAGCGTCGAAGGATTGAGGCTGAAAACACTCATGCAAGCAACATGAGCGACCCTTCACGCCCTCCTCCTAACTCTAGGCGACCGGTATTCCCAGCTCATTACGACTTTCTTGGACCTACCCTTCATGCTATCCCACCCGGGATGCCGCTGGGACTCCCGATAGGCACTTTTCTGGAGGAAGACGCAGCTCTCGAGTATCTCACTTCAGGCTCAGGCTTTGCTCAGGACTTGCGCGACATAAACCTCAGTCAGCCTCCACCTCCTCCATTCTACGTCGCCCCGAATCTGGCTTCACGGTCTGCGGCCCTCACCAGCCATCCGAGCCAATCCTCCATGCCGCAGCAACCAGGGCTTGTCTCATTCAATGATTTCTTCGTCCAGCCGACGGCCCCCGCAATCCCTGAGCGTCGACGACAAGTGGAGGGGAATGCGGCAGCATCCTCCGGGAACATGACCGCGGCACCGACTCCATTTGATTTCTCCGGTCACCCACCATACAGACCTCCCTCTTATCCGCCACATATTCCGGTGATTGAGGGCATTTCTCCTCCTAGACGGACTGCTCCGATCTCCACTCCAGCAACTGGCGAGGTTGCAAAGAAACCTGCTACAATGCTGATCCTCAGTCGGGCATCGGAGGACAGTATCAAGGCCCTGGATGAGCACAAGAGGGACTGCCCGACCTGCTGCCTTCAGTTTGAACCCAACAACTTTGTGGCGGTCATTACCTGTTGCAACATGGCCATCCATGCTAGATGCCTCTCTGCATATGTCAATTCTCAAGGGTACTCCAAGAGTCGGGTTTGCATGAAATGTCGCCGGGGAATTGATGCCAAGTATATGTTGAACAAGGTGATGCCACCAGTCACCGACAAAGACTGGGACGAAGGCGGTGACTTCAACGCGCCGGAATCGTTGCAAGCAGAGACCAAGATTGAGCTCAATGTGACTGCCCGGCCACATCGTGCAGGATCTCATCGACACCGAATCTCGATGGGTTATTCTGGCCACAGAGCTGGACGTCACACATATCTCCCTTTGGAACACTTGACCGCTGAACAAAGACTTGCCGTGCTGCATTTGCGCGAAGATCACCTGGTGGAACTGGAGGAATTGCGAAACCGATGCAATATTGCGATGGAAAACAGCGGCCGACTCAATCATCTAGACCTAGATGCCAATCGAGCTCTTGTCGATGCGCAAACACGAGCAACTCAACAAGAACTTAGCGCACTACTCAAGAGATGCCAAGAAACGAGAGTGGCAAGGGACAAGGCACGGGAGGCTTACGAGAGAGCTCGAATGGAGCTGGAAGCATTGCACCGGGTTCAAAGTCGTCGGGTGACCGAGATGATCGAGGAGTACCAGGCAGAAAGAGAACGCGCACTGGAGGCAAGAAGCCGGGACGGCGAAGCCCCTCGAAGTGCACCCATTGCTATACCTCAGCTCAGGGTCGTCAACGGAGATCCGCCCAGCAGTATGTCTCCCTGAAAATCATAAGTACGCCGACATACCTGTCGGTTCATGGCCCAGTTCAGAACACGCGTCAGTGGAACTGAGAGGGACGGCAGGATTCCCTTCATGGTCTGGATTCCTGGTTCTGGTGAGACGAAATGCGCAATATCTTTTGAATCGAAATGATTTTCATACAGTGCTGGCTTGTACCTTTGTACACGAGCAGAGGAAACATCAAGCTCCAAACGTCGGATTCTCTTTTACAGGATCTCTACGCGTGGCCGACAAAGACAGCAGCAGGATCATACCCTTCAGCACGGCACAGTACCCGTACGACTCGGCCCCTTTCAACAAGCACGTCAACACAACACTAATAACAGCATGACTTACGACTTCACAACTCTTTTTTCTTTCTTGCACAGTCCGAAGGCGCATCTGAATGGGCAGGTGGGTCGGTCGAGTACACGAACCGGTATTTGGTGGTAAGGCTTGAGATGCAGATGGCGAGGCTTTGTCCTCTTGCACTATGCATTGGATGAGGTTGCTGGAGAGGCTGCATAATCGAGGGAGGAATATTGCTTTTTCCTATGATTTCACTCCAGGGTCGGGTATCCGGTTCAGAGGATAGGAGAGGGCCAGCGAGCACCGGCATCCCGGTCATTCATGACAGCATGTGTATTCAATCATACCTCTGCAGTTATTCGAAGGTCGTTCAGTGGTAACAGACTGTACATAGGCAGCTACCTAGTAACGGAACCACACACAGAACTAGTATCCGAAAGCGGTTCCTAGAAGGCCTTGATCATGCCTTTGCCGGAATGTGCTGGTCTCCGTACCAAAGATCGTTCAGACAGTACGGAGTACTCTGAACGTCAAGGCCCGTGCTCGCCTTTATATTGCCAGAGATTGTGTTTCCTGCCCACGACTAGACAGGTACCCTCCCAAAGCATTGGCACGAGTTGGACTGGATAGCTCCTTCAAGCCCTCATGCCAGGTTCGTGAGAAAGCAAGCACACCGGAGCCCAGATAAACGTTCCTTGTATCATCTCCCCTCGGCTTTCCAAAAGCCTGCCTGAAGATTCTCCGCCATGCCCGTTGCTGGCCCTCGGGGCTGCGCCCCGCTCTTCCCGCCAAAAAACGCCTCAATCGACCTCTGGTTCCGTTCGATCTTCAGCGGCAGTTCAACTTCCGGGAGATCGTCCGTCATCTCGGCATCCTCGTCCTCTCCCTCCTTGTGCTCATAGGGATCATCCAACTCCAGCACACCGGACATGTGCATTGCTTCATCGAGATGGAACCGCTGGGCATCGTACAGTTTCCTCAACGTGTTTTCGTGGATGGCTTCTTCGTTGGGTCGATCGTCGCGGTGTCGCTTGCGGGTTCGGCTGTTCAGGTAGGGGATAGCTTTGACTCTGTGGAACTCATAAGGGCTCGCATCGCCGCCGTTTGAGGATTGCACCGTGCTTGTTGTCGATAGGGGCGACGACGAGGCAAGGGACGGTGTAGCTGCGCGGGATTGTTGTTGGTAGAAGAGGTTGTCTTCCTCGAATATGGAGGCTTTCCGTTTCGTGCCCATTGTTGCGATATTTATAGATAGGTTGCGAGCCACAAAGCTGCGCTGGATGGCTTGTGATTGATGGCGTTTGGTTTGACGCGTTGAAGCAAGCACTTTACGCGTCGGGTTCGGTTGCGTGAGCAAGGCCAGGAATATGCCTTCTCTTCCGCGCTCTTCTATTGAATGTAATAGATGTCGTTTCCTTCTTGTATGTGTGCGAGAGATACTGGTATCAACTTATATACACCAGTATGGTCGTGTAGGAATGAAGCAAAGAATGTGAAGGGGACGTGGCTGGAGGAATCGCGTCATGCCCCTTTGGGGCGTCAAGCTGAAGAGGCAAAGCAGGTACGGAGTACACGGTTGAGACACGGGGTGACGGAGTGTGTGCTGTGGTTCTCCGTACCTTCTGTATAGTACTCCGTACTCCGTACTGCGTACTGTATTCCCCGCACTGAGGCACGCGAACTCAACACCCCGCGTTGCTTCAGACTCGTCCCGCTCTCTTCAAGTTGGCTCTCACCTAGCGATCATCCTCACCTCACCAACCACACTGCCCCGATCGACCTTGGTCCAGGGGGATGGCTGTCCGAGAAGCTTCCCATGCCGGCTCATGGTACTCTGCTGACGGGCGCCAACTCGCTGCTCAACTGGATCAATGGCTGGCTGCTGTGCCCGAGAAAGATGTCCTGCCTGGGGTTGACAGCCTGCCGTTACCAGACGCGCGAGCAGTAATATCGCCGCACGCTGGATATGCATATTCTGGTCCTTGCGCAGCATGGGCCTACAAGTGCCTGGATCTCTCCAAAGCAAAGCGTATATTCATCCTACATCCTTCTCATCACCATCACTTGACTACTGCTGCGCTCCCCGTCGTCGATGCCTACGAGACACCCCTGTCAAAGGACCCTCTTCCTCTTGACCAGGAGACCATCAAGCAGTTAGCCACGCTCTCCACGGCTGTACAAGGCCGAACCATCAAGTTTACAACCATGTCGCAGTCAGTAGACGAGGCCGAGCACAGCGCTGAAATGCAACTGCCCTACATCCACCGTTTCCTGCAGAAACTCTACCCCGGCCAGCCCGAGTCATCATACCCACCTCTCGTCCCCATCATGGTTGGCGGCACGAATCCCGCCACCGAAGCTGCGTTGGGCAAGATGCTGGCTCCTTACATCGCCGACGAAACAAACGCGTTCGTCATCTCGTCCGATTTCTGCCACTGGGGCAGCAGATTTGGCTACACCTATTACCTACCGGATGCCCCGTCTCCGGCCTTGTCCCCTCTGATGTTGCCCAACGGTGTGCGGGGACAGTTCACAACCGCCAAAGAGTCGGTCAATGAAGACGTCCACAAAATGCCCACGCTAGGTCAAGGTCAGGATCTCAGCTCAAGAAGCCAAATACCGAGAAGCGGACCTCAGATATTCGAGAGCATCGCACACGCGGACAGGGCGTGCATGTGTGCCATCGCCACGGGTCAACATTCCGAGTTTCTTCGCGTGCTCAAGGACACTGGGAACACTGTGTGTGGTCGACATCCGATCGGGGTATTCATGGCTGGTGTGGAAGAGGTAGAGCGTCTGGAAAAGGAGCAAGGCCATGACCCGGGCGACCGCAGACGGTTCAAGTTCATGCGGTATGAGAGGAGTAGTGACGCGGAGAGCGTGAGGGATAGCAGCGTCAGCTATGTCTCTGCCTTCGCCGTCCTATGAGTTGCCTAAGTTGGTTTGGCTCAGAGAGCTGAATCTCAAACGAGATCGGGAGAGACGACTGGTTCCATCCTGACTGGTGAAGCATTGCTATTCTCCTGTCTGCGTCACGGGAACGAACGTCTCCAAACTCTGACACGGTGCCACGCAGAGGGCGTTTGCAATGAAATTTCTAGTGTCAGCCTCCAGATTCAGACATTGGCGTCTTACCATCCTCAACCCTCCAGACGAGGCACAGTGACCAGGCGTTTAGCTAGTGCAGCGTGTGTCAGACGGAGCTGCCAGCAAGATACGGAATATCCCCAGCCGCACCGTTCGGAATGACAGGACGACCACAGAATGATTGGCAAGGAACAAGGGTGGCCCGCTACTTAACATGCTTCCCATAGAGACGTTCTGGTCAACATTTTCAGGTCTCTCGTGGTAGAGCAGGCTCAAGGGTGGTATTACTGCAAAGCATCAGAGGGTTTCCCCCGAGTAATGCGCTGCAATGGTTCAATCTCGATTGCACGCACGGTATGATACCTTTAATGTGTTGATGTGTTGCCGTCGCTGGACGCCTATAGAGAAAGGTCGATACCTGTATCGTATACAGTGTCCGCTTACAGGCGTATTTCCTCCTCTTCCGGGACAGCGCTGTGGAGTTTCGCTCGTAACTCATATGTGGTGGTTTGCCGTTCCATCGAGCATTGAAGTGGGAAGCGCAGGCGCAGGCGTACACTTACTCACTCGTACATCCTACCTCGTAGTAAACGCTGAGATGTCCAAGACTCGGCGCTTGCTACGGGTACCTAAGGTACTCGTATGACGTGCCCAACTGTGCGAATCGCAAAGGGAGACACAAGCTAATGCCGCAGGGACAATGGAGATAGTGATTAAATATCTCGTACCCAACCAGAGCGAGAGCCACATGCATTTCCGTGACCACGCGACAGTACGAGTACGAGTAGCTCGAAGGAAGTATGAGGTATGAGGTACACAGTCACGACAGGACGAGTATTCTTCGAGGGTCACGAGGGTGGAGGACATACTGTGTAGTTGGCTCGTCGCAGCGTGCCTCACAATTATCGTCGATCGTCAAACACTCTGGGTCCCAGTGGGTAACTCGTACAGTACCTACTCATGCAAATCGCCTGCCCGGGGTCCTCGTACTCGTCCAACCAAATGTCCAGACGAGGTACCGGCAATCGCACTTGTTCGCATACGAGTACCTATACGTACATACTTGTACACAGTAGTGGTTATTTAGATTTGCCGTTTCGGGATGTGTGCTCCTGTTTGGTACTGTATACTCGTGAGTTCTGCACTCGACACTCGTACGTGGCGGAGATATGGTCGTCTGTTCAAAGAAAGAGTGGGTACGTTGTATACGAAGATCCATACCAGGTACAATTTAGATATCGAGTGTCGAACTCGCGATTCCACACCACAATACTCGCATAAGTACGTTGGGGAAGGTCGCTTGTGGGCCGGGCTTGGATACAGTATTGGGCACTCAACAGGCACAGCATGATACTTCACTTTTACACTTTTCGATTGTACGGTTTTTCGACGGTCTGTAAGTAACAAATTGTACTTGCCTAGTAGGTGTATACTGTAGGCCTTCCGGTCGAAGAATCACTATCTCACCCAACGGTCGACCGAACATGATCTTGCACGACTGGCCATGTCACGGTACGAGTAGATGGCAGATCTGCTTGAATACGTAAGTTGTACTGTGTATCTACTTACTGACTTGCCTGCTTACTTGCCTGCTTGCTTGCCTGTTTGCTTGCCTGCTTGATGGCTGTGATCAGCCATGATCAGCTCGAGGGGATGTCCGCGCCATGCAGACCGGTAGTCTAATGGACTAGTACGAGTATCTTCTGTGTGTGGCTTATGCCGCGATTTCCTTAGGCCGCTGGACTTCGCTCACCGATTGCGGTACGTACACAGTCCTGTGACTGCGATTCTGGCAATGACGGCACAGGAAAGTGGCCCAGCCTGCACAAGGCTTGGGTAAGCCCAAGTGGCCTTGATAAGCGAAATGCGCCAAATGCGGGGGCGAGAGACATGGGAAGTGCTGAAAAAGCTGCCAATCTTCGATCGTGTCATACCCTTGTACCCAGTAGACCCTGGAGACTCGGCGACTTGGACTGGCGTGCGCCGCGAGCCTACCATATCATTCTCCTGTCTCGTCGCAGGGTCGTTCGTGCCAACCGTCTGTCTGGGCGGGCTGTGTCCAATGATTACAAGCACATGCGAACACTCGGTCGCGGTGGTGTCCATGCTTCGGGGCTTCCACTTCAACTTTACATAGCCAGACATGTCGTCGCAGCTGCTCGCGGCTCGGCGACCAAGAAACCATCGAGATGACTCTCGCAAGACCTCCAAGGCCACCGGCCGGCGCCACTGCGCCAGCCTAGCGCGTCAAGCCAATCACAAGGCGGACATTAGCCCCAATGCCGCCGAGGGCTCGTCAGCATTGGCAAAGGCTTGGGTATGACGACAATGAGCACACCGCAAAGTGTGCAGATGGGTATTGTTTTCCTCATGTTCAGAGATAGGGCGCCGCTTAGGTGCCGGGCTCTTGGGATGGCGCCAAACTGTGATCGACACGTTCCTGTTCAGAGGGGGGCGGCTCTTGGGGCCTGGGGGATCGACAAGTGATGGCCGGAGATGACGTTGTTGTCTGGTCGATCCATTTGGTCTCCTGACGATTTGGCAAGCTTGGGTGGCTCCGCGAGCGTCCTCAGCGCTGCTGCAGCTGAGAGCTTCCGGTCACTACTGGACGGTTAGCTTCAGAGGGGAAAGAGACCTAGCGGTTTGATTGCGGCACGTTGAGCGTAGAGATGGCAGACACAACTGCGCTCAGGTCACCATGTCATGTGGAGGTAGATGATGATATGAAATGGGAACAAAAAGTGCGTAGAGGTCAACATGTCAGGTTGGCATTAATTATGCAGGAAGTAATAGTTGGTTTTTTGAGCAAAACAATCCAAGCGCAACGCAGATTGGGGTATCCAAGGAGACGTAGTGTGCTCTGCCAACCCCCCCTCCCACTATCGCTCCTATCTCTTGGAATAGGGAGGTCACAGCTCCCAGCTTCTCCCGAGTAACTTAGGCTTGATTCCGGGGTGATCTGTGCGCCACGCTTGCGCATGCGCACATCCCGGGTCGATACGATGTCGTCGATGTGGCGAGCTCTCGCGGAAGAGGCGCTGCTTATGCAGTGTGTTCGGTCTTGTTCTCTTCGCGCCTCTGCTTGCCCTTCTCCGACCAGGGGAAGTGGACGACGGGGACGATGAAGAAGCTGTTCGAGGTATCGGC